GGAGATCGGAACAACAGTGTGGAATAAGGCATATTTCCTTTAGAAAGGCAGACGGGAGAGCACGAGAGACCGTCCCCTGTCAAGAGCAGAGACATCCTCTGTGATAGAAGACTCCAGCCTAGCAAAGCTCAAGGAGTGGAGCATCTCCCTTATGAGGAAAGACTGAGGGAGCTGGGTCTCTATAGTTTGGAGGAGACTGAGGGGTGACCTTATTAGTGTATATAAATATATAAAGGGGGAGTGTCATGAGGATGGAGCCAGGCTCTTCTCAGTGGCAAACAACGATAGGACAAGGGGCAATGGGTACAAACTGGAACACAAGAGGTTCCACTTAAACTTGAGAAGAAACTTCTTCTCAGTGAGGTGACGGAACACTGGACCAGGCTGCCCAGGGAGGTTGTGGAGTCTCCTTCTCTGGAGACATTCAAGACCTGCCTGGACACGTTCCTGTGTAACCTTATCTAGGTGTTCCTGCTCTGCAGGGGGATTGGACTGGATGAGCTTCTGAGGTCCCTTCCAATCTCTAACATACTGTGATACTGTGATACTGTGACTTCAGCCGAGAGAGAGAGATGAATTTAATAGTATCTATTCCATCCTTTGAACATTAGGAGGCAGGTGGAAAGGCCCCATCCATCCATCATCTCCCCCCTCCTCAGCACCAAGGAGACACTATAAAAGTTCAGAAAGCAACACACAGCTAATAAAGAAGTTACAATTCTTTATCAAGTCTATAAGCTGCCTGCAGAGGTCACACTGCTGGAGGCAGCCACCAAGAACAAAACCCAGGGTTCAGACAAGGCACTGTACGGCACCATGGCAGTGAGTGATGAGCTTGAGCGTTACACAGACTAACCCAAGTGGAGTAATCAAAGCACACACCTCGTGGAATGACCTGCTCATTCATAGAGTGTCACATGGAATTGCCTCCTAATGACAGGGCACAGGAAGGAAAAGGCTGAGTAGCTGCCTTTGCTGAATCACAGCAGAGGGGCAATGGGACTGAGGGAATCCATCCAGCCCACCCCATCCCAGGGCAGGATGAGCTGTGCCATGCCAGCTCTGACAGACAGCAGTCCAGACAGCCTCAGGAGGATCAAACAGTAGGGACTTGGCCACCTCGCAGGCAATGCAATCCAGCATCTCACTCCGAGAAGCAAGGGCTGCACAGAAGTAATGTCTTAGGCCAATAAGCTTTTTTAATTAAGTCTTCTCTGTCCTGAAGCACTGGATGCTCTCCACTCACTCCAAACATGGGAAATCAATAACACAGGTTTATTTAGCTCCATCCTTCGGGGGCCCTTGGAGAGCAAGCAAACATCCCACTGCAACAGGTAACAGCAGAATTCAAGCAGTGCTGTTCAGTCAGTGGGCAGAACACCCAATCTTCAACAATCTGCCTCAGCACCTGGGTTTTCAGCTACACACAGGGGGAAGGCAGGAACTAACAGGCTCATAAGGAAGTTTTCTAGCTGACCTTCAGGCCAAAGTTTATTACCAACAGGACCCTGAAGAATACAGTGTCTGGACAATTGTGGGAGGAAGGCTAGATGTTAAAGGGCTATACAGCTCCTCTTTGCTGGCAGGCCTGTGGTGCACCATGTGCCCTCAACTGCATTTGTCTCAGGTGAGCTGTCTCCTTTGTACTCCTTAGGAATGGAGTCTCCAAGAGGCCCAACTGGCAAGCTGTGTTTAGTGTGTGACACATTCAGTGGCTTTACAAGACCTCTGAGCTCTGCACCCCAGAGCTCTATTTCTGCACCACAGGAGCCTACTCAACACACAGCTCGGTATTTCTGCTAAAACCCAGATGACAAAGAAAATATCATTACAGCAGCTCTGGTTTCCTGGCTCTCATTTGCCTTTATGGATGGTTGTTAGCAAAGCACTAAAGTTTAGGAACAGAAGGCACACGCGTTCTGGCAGCTGCCTGCATGTGAACAAAAGGACCTGCAGCGAAACTCACACCCATCTGGTTGATCACAGTAGAAAGTAAAGCTTACACCTCACTTCAGCAAAAGCCAACAAGACTTAGCAGTTAATGAGTCTTGTCTGAAGCCTCTGAATGTCTTTAATACCACCACAGAACTGCCTTCTGTGAAGGGTAAGTCTACACCACAGCCAGGAGGCACACTGCAGCCCAAATAAGCAATGAGTAAGTGCAACAGGGAGATGAAGATGTCAGACCGAAGGCAGAACGTCTCTAGAACGGCACAGTGCAGTTTTAAGACAGCTACAGATCTGTAGTGCTGAGGATTAAAGGGGAGGGAGCAAGAGAGCTGGGAAGGCAGGAAGGAGAGTAACTCATGGAATCAGCTATTGCCACATTTTGTAGCTGGAGCATCTTTAGCTGCTCCTAGAGTTCAAATGGGTGAGCATGAGCTGCAGTGGGCTCTCAACCAGACCACACTCGCTACCTTTGCTGGGACCATTTCTACACCTCCAGTGCAAGCCCTTAGTCCACCCAGGCTGCCAGGACTCCACTGGTGCAAAGGAGTGCTATGAACTGTTGGATTTATCAACACCGCTTTGGTGAGCAGAGATAAAGGCAGCATCATGAAAGAGCAGCAGAGATTAAGAAGGATCGGCTTCCTTCCCAGGAGAGAAGAAACTAATTTGGGGAACACAGGACTGAGATCTGCAGCTATAATGGCTTTTTATCATATTGATCCCTATCACCCCCTGTTCCCTTCTGTGCCTATTTCCTGTATCGACTTGCTGACTCTTTTAAACACCCTTTATCAAACTCCTCATAATACCCATGTGAACACTGAGCAGCACTGGAGCTCTGATTGTGTCTGCCACCTTCTAGACACTACAACAGGGCAGAGTTCAGCAATAAAGCAGGACACAGCATCCCCAAGCACAGCCTTAAAATGTAGGAAAACGGCATGGACAGACAGCACCAGGCAAAAACTGCCAAGACCTCATTCAAGCCCAGAGGAACTGCCTGTATGTGCCAATTCCCCCAAATCCCAGAACAGGCACTGGGGAAGAGCGTAGGGAGGGGTTTGTGGGGGGGAGGAATTCATCATCCTTCAACCACAGACCATGAGAAACTGTACCAGTGGCAACATCAGAGAGCACAGCCAGCATAAGGAGCCCATTTCTGCAGAGATGATTTGAGGCAGAGCTGAGAGCAGACACACGCAGCAGCCAGCAAGGCTCTGCCTGCCCTGGCAGCATTCAACAGCAGGAAAACCAAGGCCAGAGAGAATGACTACAGACCTGGAACATCAGTAGGAAATCCATTGTGTAGGAATTGCTACAAATCCACACATCCACCGCCCAAGGGAATTTGTGTATAGAATCCTTACAGCACCACACACAATGCCTTCCTCTGACTCAGGAAGGCTTTGTCAGTGGGATGCCATCTGCTCACGCTGCTCAGGTGTGTGAAATCTGGCTTCAGTATGAATGCAGTCACCTGGAGCTCATCAGGCCAAGGGGTAAGGGGCAGCTCATGCTCTCCAGAGGCGTGAAACTTGACTTCAGCAAGAATACAGTCAGCTGTAATTAATGAGGGCAAGAGATTTAAGGGGGGGCACGGAAAGGTGGTAACACTACTAACAAATGTTTCCATGACACACAAAGTCAGCAATATTTCATGAAAATTGAGTATTTCAGGAGGACAGAGCATGTCATTGGCAGTAGCTCAGAATCATTTGCATGGGGAGGGAGCCTTAAGAATCCTTTAGTCCAGTCTCCCTACTGTGGAAAATACCCCCCCCACCTTAAAGAAGCAATGAAATCCCTGCTACCCTTACCAGTGTTGGCCAGAGAGCCACAAAGGGATCAGCTCACTATATACATATATATGTATGATGAACCTATAGATCAGGCTTGTGCTGAGGCCAAAACCCAGAGCACCTCCAACAGCACCACAATGCCCCACTCTTCAGCCCTTCCCTCCAGGCAAGGGCAGGATCTGGGTTCCAAACATCCCCCATGGGAACGGCTGCCCTTGGACCCCCAGATTCCTTTGCCCTTATAGGAACAACCCTGCAGGAGCCCCTCAAAGCCCCCTGCAGAAGAGACACGGGGAGCGCCATGCTCTGACACACGCATCCAGCAGCCCTGGAGCCTTCAGCCACCACAATCCACCCTTCCCAAGAGCTCCGGCTATTCCGGACTTACTCCCTTTCATTCCCCCTCTTCTCCCTCAGAGCTGCAAGCGCCATGAATCCTCCTGCAAGTGTCAGAGCTTTTCCCCTTTCTCTCCCACATTTTGCCTGCTATTGAGAGCCAAAGCAGAAGGTGCCCGAGAGCTCCATCACTCACTTCCTCCGGTGCCCGTGCAGGTGACGGTCATTCCTGCACTGCTCCGGGCCTCCTCAACTGCAGCTCCTTGCTTACGAGAGGCTTCCTGCCGCAGCGCACCTGAGATGGAAGGGAAGGGGGAAATGGCTGTATACGGAGCGACTAAACCACTCTCCGAAGGAAACACCTTGCACCGTAAGCAAAGGCTAGCCCAGCCTCTAGAACAGCGTTTTAGATGTTTCCTGCATTAGATGCAATGCCTTTGGGGGACACTTAACACATAGGGAATCATATCAACCCCTTCTCTAAAGGCCGCGTTAGGGAGGTCTGGGATCGGCCCGATTTGAAGGGAGTTGAACCCTCTGCTTTGGGAGGGCATCCCCCGAGCTCCACGGCAGTTACCAGCAGGGACGAACACAGAAGCGAGGCCCAGGAGAAGCGGGGGCAGCGCTGACCCCTCCTCAGGGGCTCCCTCCTCACGGAGCCCTCGGCTCTGCGGGTGCCGCCCGCCCCGCAGCCCCCACGGCCCCAGGGAGCCGCCGCCAGCCTCGCACCCACCCCGCGCCCGGGGGACGAGCGGCGGCCCCGGCCGGAGGTCCTGGAGCCATTCCCGCCCCGCGCGCCCCCTCAGGAGCGGACCCCGCTCCGCGCATGCGCGGGGGCCACGCGGGGTTGCCCCTGGCGCTCAGCCCCGCCCCTCACCCCCGCCCGCCGAGCAGCGCGGGCCGCGGCACGAGGCGGCGGCGGCATGTCCTGAGGCGGCGGCGCGGAGCCGGGCCCGCAGCCGGGCCCCACCACGGAGGGGTCGGTGGAGCAGCGGGCCAAGGGCCGGGCCCCCATGAAGGACAAGGAGGCGGGGGCGGAGCGGGGCAAGCCCGCCACTTACACCGGCGAGAAGAAGGCGCGCATGGCGGCCAAGACCAACAAGAAGTGGGTGCGCCTGGCCACCGTGCTGGCCTACGTCCTCTCCGTGTCGCTGGCCGCCATCGTCCTCGCCGTCTACTACAGCCTCATCTGGCAGCCGGTGCGCGGCGGCTCCGGCCCCGGCCCTGCCGCCGCCACCGCCTCGCAGCCCCGCGCCGCGCCGCCGGGCCCCGCCGCCAGCCCCGCGCCCGGCCCCCCGCGGGACGCGCCGCCGCCGCCGCCCCCCGGCCCCGGCCCCACGGACATGGACTCGGAGCGTCCGGACGCGTCCTCGCCGCCGCCCGGGGCCGAGGCGGGCGCTGCGGGAGGCCCCTGAGGCGGGGCCGGGCCGGGCTGGGGCTGGAGGCCGGCAGCGGGACCCCCGTGGCGGAGGACCCCGAGGAGCTCGGGCCGGGACTGTGCGCACCGGGCGGACTCTGCGGTACCTCCTTTCCCCCCCGTTTGTCCTCAGCAGGGGACTCTGTGGCTTCGGTTTTCCCCTCACCAGGGCTAGCGTCTCCCGTGGAACCTGCATCGAATTCCTGCGCTATTTATGCCCGTCTGTTACCTAGGAAGGGATCTCGGTGTCCGGAGCTCCTCACTGTTGACGGGACCAGCTGGGAACAACACGACTTTAGAGGCTGTAACCCATTGTTTCAGTAACCCCCGTTTTGTTTAACAACGAGCATAAACTTATTTAAAACCATGTGGCAGGTAAATTGACTTGTTTACTATATTAAAGTATTTTCCCAATATGAAAGTCTCTGTAAGGCAGTATGTTTGCGGGGCTGGGGGGTACCGCTGGGTACCAGAAACGGTTTGGTCACTGTAACGGGTCTGATGGTGATGGTTAATGTTGGTTGGTGTCCTTAGATGATGCTGGAGAAGCCTCCGTACGTGCTGAACTCCTGCTGATGGTCGTAACTACGCACTAGGGAGGTTTGCGCTGTGGGGACGAGCAGGTGAAGTGCTGGTGCTGATGGTGTGTGGTGCTTGTGGCTTGTTGCCCTCTGCTCCTGCCCATGAGGGATGGCAGAGCTCACAGACCATCCCTGGTGGCCTCTTGGGGCTGGTGCTTCAGGTGCATCCATGCCAGCCCTGATGCGACCCAGGGAGACTGCTCCCGGCTCAGTGTTCTTGTCCCTTGGAGCCTTCAGAGATGTTCTGTGTAGCAAAAACCTGGCCTTCAGTGGCTGTGGGCTGCAGGCGCTGAGCTAGGAACCATAAGCCTTGTGTCCTCCTGAGCAGCTGCTTGTCAGGTTGATGCTTTCGGTTGAATGCCTTAACTGGGAGGCTGCTGGGCTGTTCTGTTCTGTCCTGGTGAAATGACCCTGGGAGCTCAGCTTGCCCCTGCTGAGGGATAAAATGTGCTCTAACACAGCGTGCGTACTTCAGTGGTGCACATCATGAGCGTATTGTAACGCACAGCCTTGGCTTGTTTAAAGGTGGGGGGAGATACAGGTGTTTCAAACCTAAATCAGCTGCTTTGGACTGGTGGGGGGGGTGTGAAGCTTGTGTCATCAGCCGAGCATAGCCTCTGTTAAAGATCCAAACCGGGAGCAGGCTCCCAGAAGGAAGTTAGGAGGAAGGAGGGGGTGGTTTGGATTTGATCTTCCACCCTCTTTTCCAGTGTCCTGGAGAGCACACGGGATGGGATGCCTGTGTTCTCAGTGCGGCGCAGAGGAAAGCTGGTGGTGTCTGTTGTGTAGCAGCAGGCGATTGTGTGCTCTTGGTGGCTCTGCCTGCAGCTCCTGGGGCTGCCAGGTACCTGCAGTAGCTGCTCTTGCTGTCCTCAGCATACACCTCTGCTTGTAGGGGGAGAGTCCTGCAGCTCTCTGAGGGAGGACTGAGTAAAAGAGGAGCCAGGCTCACTGGTTGGTGCCAGCTGAGTTTAGGCTGTGCCTTGGCTCTGCTATTAAATACAGAACCAGTTGGGCAGTGTCTTGGGAGGCAGTTTCACTCCTAAAAGCTTTGAGGATAAACAGAAGCCGGGTGGAATCGCAGGTATTTCTGTGCTCCTGGCCTGCAGCTCAGACCTGGTGAGTCCATGGTGGCTTTGGTAGCACATCCTATACATGCTGGTGTGCCCGTGCTCCTGGCATTTGTCACTGTCAATACAATTGCTCTCAGAAGACTAATAGAGCATGGCTGCGTGGAGCAGATGGGAGAGGAAGTGAACTGAATTAAATGGGCTGCGTGGCCCTCTTCCAACCTCTCATGTAACTGCGGAGAGCCGGCTCCTCTTTGGGAGCAGGAGCAACCTCCAGCTCCTCTCCTGAGCAGGGCTTTGGTGGCAGAGGCTCCCTGGGACAGTGACCGAGTTGTCCAAGGGAACAGCCCCGCGGCTGATGCTCGCCTCCCTTTCTGCTGCTAAAAATAGCTGCTGAGCCCATCGGAAGATGGTTGTGGCTGTCTTGGGCCCTGCAGGCTTGAGGAGTTCCCAGGCTCTGCTTCTGCATCTCCTCTGCTTCCACTGAGGCTGACATGGAACGCTTCAGTGGCTGTACCTGTCACAGCTCGCTGTGGAGCATCCTGGCACTGCGCTGCTGCGGTGCTGAGCGTGCCAGGAAGGGGAAACTTGAGCTTGTAACGATGCAGAAGGGTCGTGGGCTGCTGGGCCTCACCGTGATGTGAGTGCATTGTTTGCCAGAGCCCTTGCGGAGCTCCATTCTCCAGCTAAAATCCCTGGTGCATCCCTTCCCTAGCCAGGAATCCCAGTCCTCCAGAGGGAGGTGTTCCCTCTGACATACTGTTGCCTGCCCGTGAGGAGCCAGGCCCTGTGCTTGTTCCTCTCTTTGTGGCAGACCACAGGGAATCAGTGACGAAGTGCACTGTGCAAACACTTCTGGTAACTAAACTAGCTCATGTGGACTGACTGAGGTGTAACTGGCTTTCAAATCCAGGGATTTCTTGGGCAGTAGATTGCCTGCAACAGGCAACGGCTGGATTGTCATCTCGGGCTGTCAAATGAGGCACAATGATGCTGTCACCTGCATCTGAACATCATCTTTTAGTGCCCTGAAATGGTGCAGTCCCCAGCCTCGGGTGAACCTGAGGTTTAAGAGGCAGACTTTGTTCGCTCCTGTATTACTTCAGCTCCAGTTCAGCCTTCCCCTTCATTGCTCTTCAGGAAAACAACTCAGTTTGCTTAGTGGGATATTGTGTTGCTTCCTAGATAGAAATCACTGTGACCAGTGTTCCTTCATAGAACCATAGAATGGTTTGGGTTGGAAAGGGCCTTAACATCATCCGGTTCCAACCCCCCTGCCATGGGCAGGGAAAACTCCTTCCTTGGAGTTGGTGCTGAGAGGGTTGTGAGTGCAGTATCTTAGGCCCTTGCCTTTGCATCTCAAACCTTCCAGCTGTGGGATGATCCCATAAAAACATGATCATTGTAAGAACAAAGCTGGAATAGTGGCATAGTGCTTCTGTGTTTTTATAGCAGTTTTTTATTGATAAAACACAACTCTGTGATGCCAAGTGCTCCCCCAAGCTTTGAGTCTCTGTATGAGTTAGGGCCTGGGTTCCAGAAGTCAATGTACATCAGCTTTGAGTTTTCCACTCCTAATCACAGTAATCACTTAAGAGGATGGAGAGAGGACCAGGCCATGTTCTGCTTCTCCTTTCTGACTGAGGAGAGTCTTGGGGAGGGATTCCAATTCCTCCTTGTGAGAAGCTTGGTGCTGATGCTGCCTTGTCCAGCTCTCAAGACAAGGCTGACCCTCCAGCCCTGTGTAATGTGGCCTTTGCTTAGATCACAGAATCCCAGCCTGGTTTGGGTTGGAAGGGACCTTAAATCTCATCCAGCTCCAACCCCAACCCCTTCCACTGGAGCAGCTTGCTCCAAGCCCCTGTGTCCAACCTGGCCTTGAGCACTGCCAGGGATGGGGCAGCCACAGCTTCTCTGGGCACCCTGTGCCAGCGCCTCAGCACCCTCACAGGGAAGAGCTTCTGCCCTATAGATCCTTACAAGAGGATTTGAGCTGCGAGCTCTCTCCATGGGAAGCATTCCCTGAAAGGAATAATGTGAGGATTTAACTGATGTCCGGTCAAAGGTGTACCTGGAGCAGAGAAACCTTGGTTCTTTCATGTAGGTGCCTCTGGGCTTACACCTATTTACTGACACACACCACTTGCCCTCTGCCTGCACATACTGGTCTTGTCGCACTGAGCGCAGTGAGTGCATGTGGTGTAACTCACGTGCAGAGGGACCAGGAGGAGGGGAAATAGCTGGGAAAGTTACTAGAGCATGTAATGCACTCCAGCAGCTGGCTCCTGCTTTCAGCTTCTAAAAGGCACCTTTCCCCATGCATGTTCTCTCATGGGTTCCGCTGATGTTGTGCGTCCCCTCTTCATGCTGGAATCCTGGGGCTGGGCTCTTTCTGACAAGGAATGTGATGGTACCTTTAGTCTTGCCTTTATTTGTGAGGGTGGCTTTGAAGCAGCCTCTTGGTATAGTGGTGGTGACAATCAATGGCTGCTTCTGGGCATCAGGGATCTCTTCATAGAATCATAGAAAAGTCAGGGTTGGAAAGGACCTTAAGATCATCCAGTTCCAACCCCCTGCCATGGGCAGGGACACCTCACACTAAACCATGGCACCCAAGGCTCTGTCCAACCTGGCCTTGAACACTGCCAGGGATGGAGCATTCACAACCTCCCTGGGCAAATTCCATTCCACCCTCACAGGACTTCTTCCTTAGATCCAATCTAAACTTCCCCTGTTTCAGTTTGAACCCATTACCCCTTGTCCTGTCACTACAGTCCCTAATGAAGAGTCCCTCCCCAGCATCCCTATAGGCCCCCTTCAGATACTGGAAGCTGCTCTGAGGTCTCCACGCAGCTTCTCTTCTCCAGGCTGAACAGCCCCAACTTTCTCAGCCTATCTCCATACAGGAGGTGCTCCAGGCCCTGAGCATCCTCGTGGCCTCCTCTGGCCTTGTTCCAACAGTTCCATGTCCTTTTTATGTTGAGGACACCAGAACTGCACACAGTGCTCTAGGGGAGGTCTCACGAGAGCAGAGCAGAGGGGCAGGATCAGCTCCTTGGACCTGCTGGTCACACTCCTTTGGATTCAGAGGAGTCAAAGCTCGTCTCAGTGGGCTGCTGTGGAAGGATCATGCACAGGGGTGTGGGGGGGCTGCCTGGCTGAGTCCTGCAGGTACCAAGTGCGTGCAGAGGGGAATGGGGTGAGAAACAGTCGTACCCGAGCTGGAGCATCAAGGTGAGGAGGTGCAGCTGGGCAGAGCTCAGACCCGGGGTCGCTGCACTAAGCTGGTGTGATGGATCCGGGAATGGCTGCAGCATTCCCAGTGCAGGAGCCCTGCACCAGTCGCTGCAGGGGCCGTGCAGGGGAGGCAGCAGGCAACATCTGGAACTTCCCCGCAGTCCTGTGCCTCTGGCTGACTTAGAAAGCTTCCACACAACATAAAAAGCACCAACTGCTGTATTGTGTGCTTTACATACAGACATTCCTGACTAAATGCCAGTTTAGATCCAGGCTCCTGCGTTAGCAACCACCTGAGCTGGAGGGGAGCTGGTGTGGAAAGCAGGGAACGCTGCTGTTATTCCTGCTTCCAGAGTCTGCATAGGCTCTCCCTGTGGTCTGCTGCTGGAGGGATGCGACTGCTGAGACAGGGCTGGAACTGCTGACAAGCTCCTGTGTGGTTGCCTCCTGCAGTGATTGTCTTGGTACAGCTTTGGAAACTCAAGTACCTCCAACTTTATCTGGATGTATTCTTTGTCCTTGGCTTGAGGGGTTTTGAATTGCTCTCTTCATACAAGAGTTGATTCGCTGCTATTGAAACCCATTTTGATAGGAGCATCCGCTGCAGAGCTGCTGCGCCCAACCTGGTGCTGAATTGTGCCAGGCAGAGGGGTGTCCAGCAGCAAGCGTTCACCTGCTGTAAAGAACAAGGTGTTCTGAGTGAGGTGCTGCTGCTTCCCTGTTGTCTGGAAGGGGGAATACCTTCCACAACATCCCTGAGCTCCCCGCTGCTGCTGGGAGCAATCAGGTGCCTCTGCAGGCTGATGACTCTGCACTCTGCAAGCTGCCATCATCCCGTTTGCCTGCAAGGAGAGTGCTGTGGCAGGGAGAAGTGCAGGTTCTCAGCTCCTGGGGTGGGTTAGGCCCTTTCCTAAAGGGGGAGCAGTCTGAATTGGAGCTGCTGCTCTACAAAAGCAGAGATGACTGATTCAGTGCAGAAACCTCGACGTGGGGGACTGAGAAACATGAAGAAACTGGAGCTTTTTACCTCATTATGACTTTTATTTCATATAAATAATCCTCTACATCAGCTTTCCAACCTTGCAGTCTCACTGCCAAGAAGAAACAGCCACAGTTCTCTGTGAAAATGCCAACCCAGGCACCAGCCAAAGTGCATTGAGCAAAGTAGGAACGAGCAGGAAAAATCCACTTGGAACAGGCACTACCTGTGCAGTCCCAGCCCTGGAGCTTGGTACGGACTTCCTAGGTGTCATTATATGCAAAGGTACTTGGATTTGTGGGAGAAAAAGGGGGGAAAGGGGGAAAAGTGATGGTTTTCCTTTCAGAAAGGAGCCTGTGGCAGTGAAGAGCTGCATCAGGGGCAGCATCAGTGCCTGTCTACCTGACTGTGTATCCAACTGTTGCCAAGGGGCAACAAGCTCTTCATCTGAGACTGTTTTGTGTGGACCACGAGGCAAAGCAGTTCTGGTGTGTGCTGGTAAGGACTTGCTCTGTCTGGACCAGGCTGAGGTCGGGGCCTGATGTAGAAATGAATAATAAATTAATATAAGCAATCTAAGCAGGTTTTTGAGCCAAACAGATAAGGAAAAGCAGCCTTTACCAGTGATGGAGCATCTCCAGGACCTGGAGCAGGTCTGCAATCTGTCTTCTTTCTATCTGTGCTTTTATCTGTTGGGGAGGTCCAAATAAACCCAGTCTGGATGAAGATGTTTCTCCTGGAAACACTCTGTTTCTTGATAATACCTGGTCTGAAGCCAGTAACCTCCCCTGAATCTGGCACGTCCAGGGAATTCCCATTGTCCTTTCTGAGATAGGTGCTGTGGAAAACCAGAACGTTTATCTGTGCAAACATAAGTTTATTAAACCAGCATACAGTGTTTCAGTCCACACGTGCCAGCCTTACCCCGAGGTCAGCAGATGCATCCTGCAGTGAACTCCAGTAAATCTTTGCATGTGTTTGCTCCTGCATCAAGCTTTAGAGCAGCATTTCCAAGTGAGGGTAAGATCCTGCTGTCGTATATAGCATTGTGTTATTCCTTGTGCCTGGCTTCTGCCTTCTCCTTAACCAGTACCCTTATTTCAGGTAGGACCCAGTTTGCTGGGAATCTCTTAGCTCGGGAATCCAAGCAGCTGGGATTCTTGCACATTTACGTTGGTTAATTCTCATCCAGATCCTTCCTTTGAAAGGTGTCTTTTAAGGCCAGGTCAAAACTGATGCCCTCTTAATTCAAGCACAAGGCTATGAAAGGCACAACCAGGAAGGTGAAAGCATTTGATTGGAAGCCTCAGACCTTCAGCTCCAGCTTGGCCTGGGCCCTGCTGCCATCTCCTTTGTGCAGGGTGGGGAGGGAAGATGATTGTGTTTGTGCTGTCCTCCTCCCAGCCCTGCCTGGCACAGAGAGCTGCAGGTACCTGCAGGTACTGCAGCCTGCCTGGTGTCAGGAAGCAGGCACAGGGTTGTGCTGAGCTGCCTGTGAGCCTGCTCCATTAGCAGCAGCCTCCCTTAGCAAAATCAGTCTCCTGATGTCCTGCTTCAGCCTCGCTGCCTTTGCCCTGCTACATCTAAGAGGAGGAGGAAAGTGACCAGTTAAAGGCTGATGCTGTGGTTGAGGTGTGCTTGTCGAAAGCACCCCACACGCAAGAACGCTCCATCCCCTTTGTGCCCCACGGCCCACACCACTGCCACACATCTCTGCCAACACTTCAACCACATACAAACCTCTAGCACAGGAGCTGCTCCCAACACTACCTGATCACCCACCTACTAACTACAACGTAACGCCCTTCACCCTGTCTCCTAAGGCTCTGCTTTGTCAGTCACCCACTCCCTGCCTGGCTGTGCTGGTACCGCAGTGCCCTGCCAGCCTTGGGGGGGAGAAAGGGGTGGTGTGCCCAGAAACCTAAATCTTAGCTCTAAACACAATTAGTTATTAAATAAGATAAAGTGCATCCAGTAGACATGTCATTGGCTTGCCACACAGCTGCGAGAGAGGCTAAATAAATACAGAAGGGGAGTGATGGTGTTTTCTTTGTTGCTGGGGAGTGTGTGTCCTTCCCTGCCCTTTGGCGTACGGCTGGGAAAGGGTGATGCCAAACCTGGGAGCAGGGAGTGGTGATGGGGACCCCGTGTGTTGTGAATGGGTGCTGAGGGGCCCAGGGCGGGTGCTGAAAGCTGATTTCATAGCAGGTAAAAGAGGGAGGACAAACTCGTGCTCTTCTCATCCACCACCTTCAGCACGTTCTCCTGTGAAACAAGAGCAGAGACAGCAGCGGGATTAGGAGCCTTTAGGGAGCTGCTGAGCAGTAAATTAAAGACATCTGAGTTTCAGCTTGCCCTTCCTGCACTGCTGGGACTGCTCCAGAAGCACCAGTGAACCACACTTACCCACCTGACAAGTCCAATGGGAGCGACAGTGCTCCACAGCCCCAGGGGGAACTGAATGTGTGAGGCTGGGTTAGACTGGAATACTTTACTCTCCTCTTGTCCCAGAACCCATCCTTACGTGTTCTCCCGTGTGCTGAACAGCACCTGGAGCAAGAAGAGAAGGGGCTGATTTGGGGCAGGGCTCTGTGGTCCTCCCCTGTGTCTGGGGTGCAGCGCTTCTGTTCTCCAAAGGCAAGCGGGTGCATCAGCTTTCCTCTAGTGAAGAAACCAGCCCCTGGGCAGAGCTGCCCTGTGGCTGCATCCAGACCCAGGTATGTTGGGTTTAACTGAGAACAGCAGACCCATTTTCCCCTCTGGTTGCCATATGCCTGGCTGCTGCTCAGAACTGCTGAGCTGGCGTTTTCCTGCATCCATGTTTAAATCCACAGGGCTGCCTTGTGCTGGGGCACATTTCTGCACCCAGAGCTCCCAGGAAAGGGCAAGAGGGAGGATGTAAAGTGAAAAACAGATGAAATACCACAAAGGCAGGTGAGGTGATAGCAAGCGTGGCTTGCACAGAAGGTTGGGGCTGTTCAGCCTGGAGAAGAGAAGGCTGTGTGGAGACCTCAGAGCAGCTTCCAGTGTCTGAAGGGGGCCTATAGGGATGCTGGGGATGGACTCTTCATTGGGGACTGTAGTGATAGGACAAGGGGTAATGGGTTCAAACTGAAACAGGGGAAGTTTAGATTGGATCTAAGGAAGAAGTTCTTTCCTGTGAGGGCAGTGAGGCACTGGAATGGGTGCCCAGGGAGGTTGTGAATGCTCCATCCCTGGCAGTGTTCAAGGCCAGGTTGGACAGAGCCTTGGGTAATATGGTTTAGTGTGAGGTGTCCCTGCCCATGGCAGGGGGTTGGACATTTCAAGACACAGCCACAGTTATCCAATGTGGAACTGCACTAAAATGATACCCGAGGTACTGAAGATTCCAAGGCTGTTCCTGGAGACATTTTTCATTGTCCTTATGTGTGCAGTGGATGGGGCTGCCTGTCTCCTGCTGCTGAGGGGCACTCAGTGTTGCAGCAGCACACTGCTGACAGTTAATGCTACTGGAAGCACCAGCACCACAGAGCTGCACTTGGGGTACAAAGCGTGTAACGTCCTCTGGTTTACAAGTCTGACCTGGCTCCAGAGCAGCTCTATGTGGGTTGCTGATGGTTTCAAGGGGCTGTTTGACAGCCCTGTGCTCTCAGTGCTGGTACCCAACTCTGGGTCCTGGTTTGCACTATCACCCTTTCACTGCAGACCTTTCACCTTCTCTCTCTGCAGGATGACAAGATACTGGTGGGCTTTAAAGTCATTACTTTAAACCTCCTCCTAAGAGCTCAGCTCAGTCTCCCCTCGGGCAGGTTCAAGCCATTCCCCTTGGCCTGGCCCTACAGGCCCTTGTCCCAAGCCCCTCTCCAGCTTTCCTGCAGCCCCTTTAGGCACTGGAGCTGCTCTCAGGTCTCCCCTAAAGGAGCCTTCTCTTCTCCAGGCTGAACCAGCCCAGCTCTCTTCAATACATTCTCTCTTCAATGCATTGATTCTTGCTCCATCACTTTCTGCCTTCATTTGCTAGACTAAACAACCATTCCCTGAACATTCCTGGAGTCCTTGCCCAGGTTCCTTCAGTCCAAGTACATTTCTCTTGATCCATTCTCACATAATCCCTCTCTTTTCCAATGTTAACAGTATTTGGCCATGTCGTGCCATGGCAAAGGCTTTCCATCACTCCAGAGGTATGAAGATAACTGTGTCAACTCCTATATTAAGGCACTAATTCTGCATGAGGACTAAACTCCCTGTTTTGGTGGTACTAAGATGTGCTCTGGGGATCTGAGATGCCCATAGCATGATGGTGGGCTCCACTTGGGGGTTGCAGGAAGGACCATGTAGGGTGATGCTATTTAAGTCAAGCCCTTGAGACCTCACCTTGCCAGTCCAAGGCAAATTTCCAAGCTGTAACAGCAGAGCATAGAATCAGAGAATCAACCAGGTTGGAAAAGACCTTTAGGATCCTCAGTCTCCAGCACTGCCAAGGCCACCACTAACCCATGATGCTGAGGGCCTCGTCTACAGGGGGTGTGAACACTGATGGCATCTCCTTGTCTCTTGAACCTTGAGGGAACAGGTATGTTCTTTGGTAGCTCCATAACCGCCCTGAGGAGTGCTGGTTTCTGCTTGTGCTCCTTCCTGTACCGACCTCCAGCACCGGTCTGCATCAGCAGCTGACCCCTTCCGACCTCCTCCGTCCTGCAGCACGCAGGCCCTGCTGACGTCAGCCGGAGCTGCAGGGTCAGGTCCCTGGAGCTGCTCTGGGAACCTCCCCAGCTGCAGCTGAACCTAAAGCCATGAAGCTGCAGTTCCTCAGGGGGCTGGCGGGGCGAGATGAGCTGAGCTGAGCTGAGCTGCGCTGAGCTGCACTGAGCTGAGCTGAGCTGAGCTGTGTGTGGAGCGGGCCCTCCTCTGCGCCTGCCTGGACGCTCTCCAGGGACCCCAGGCCTGCCCTTGGGGTAAACATTTGTCCCTTGTTACTCGAAGCAGAGGATGAAAGCCCCACCGCACTGCACTGCACTGCTCGGCATCCCCAGCGGCTCCAAGGTGCTGGAGGCTTTTAGTGCCATAAACAGAGGTTAGCGGTGGAAGCGGTGACACCCACCCGGTGGCTGCTGGCTGCAAGGCAAGTGCATGAGCAGCACCCACAGTGGGGAGGGAAATCGGGGTGTTCTTGTGTGGGGGACATGGGCTCCACAAAGCCCAGGAGCAGGGAAGGTGGGGATGTTGCGTCACTGATGTGCCCCTTTATTCTGCTCTCGTGAGACCTCCCCTGGAGCATTGTGTGCAGTTCTGGTGTCCTCAACATAAAAAGGACATGGAACTGTTGGAACAAGTCCAGAGGAGGCCACGAGGATGCTCAGGGGCTGGAGCAGCTCCTGTATGGAGATAGGCTGAGAAAGTTGGGGCTGTTCAGCCTGGAGAAGAGAAGCTGCGTGGAGACCTCAGAGCAGCTTCCAGTATCTGAAAGGGGGGCTATAGGGATGCTGGGGAGGGACTCTTCATTAGGGACTGCAGTGATAGGACAAGGGGTAACGGGTTCAAACTGAAACAGGGGAAGTTTAGATTGGATCTAAGGAAGAAGTTCTTTCCTGTTAGGGTGGTGAGGCACTGGAATGGGTTGCCCAGGGAGGTTGTGAATGCTCCATCCCTGGCAGTGTTCAAGGCCAGGTTGGACAGAGCTTTGTGTGCCATGGTTTAGTGTGAGGTGTCCCTGCCCATGGCAGGGGGTTGGAACTGGATGATCTTAAGGTCCTTTCCAACCCGAACTATTCTATGATTCTAAGGTGTCCCTGCCTGTGGCAGGGGTTGGAGCTGGAGGAGCTTTAAGGTCCCTTCATCCCAAACCATTCCATGATTAATCTGCCACACGCGGTGGCGTTCAGGGAGGGACTCCAGTTCATGCAGAGATGTTTCCCTTGAGGACGGCCGCACTTCCTAAGTCCCTCTGTGGGCCACATGCGGTGGCTTTGCTGAACTCAGGTTTCCTCTGGGTTATGTTCTGGGCAATCCTGTCCCTACAGCACCAGCTGCAGACATCAGGCTCAATAAGCCAAGAAACCTAAGAGAAAATCCCACCAAGGGTTCAAGCCACCCTCAGATGGGGGCAATCAGGGATCTGCTTCCAAAGCATCGCTGTGGGATAACACGTTAGGGAGAATTACAGGCAAATCAAGTAGAGCTGTGCAGCTTTCTGTGGTCTAGACCTAAGCTGTGTGTAGAGCACTAGGGAAGAGGAGCCAAGGGAGGAGGGAAGTGACTGTCACAGCCGTGGTTATTTCTGCCTGCCATCTGTGTCCCTGTGCAGCCTCTCCTGTTGATGTGGGAACTTCAAAGCAAGAGCAGGACCTTTCCAGTCCAAACCCTCTGACAACTTGCCCGACTTGAGCCAAATGAGCTTTTGCTTTGGTGCTTGCTGTTGTGGTGCTGAGGAGCCCTGCTGCCAGCCAGGCAGATGAGCTGGGCTGAGCTGGTGCGAGAGAGATCCAGGCTGTGTGCCAAGGGCTGGTCCTGACAAAAGGGACCCAGGGAGCAGAGAGTTAAAGGCAGTTTAAAGGCAGGTCTCCCTCCTCCTCTTGGCTCTTGTCCCCACTACAGATAAACCATGGCAGAACTCACTCTGTCTGCAAATGGTCTTGTTTGGGAAAGCCAGCCCTGACAGTGGCCTGTCACTGGTGCAGAGGGAGAGGTCACATTGCTTTGTGGTGACTTCAGCAGCCAGGAGGTGACAGTGATGCCCTAGAACAGCAATAAGGACCAACAGCCAAGCAGCACTCATGCTCTAAACGCTCTTGCAGTTCATGGAATGAAAAACAACCCTAACAAAGCACCAAGAGAAACCCACTGCTGAGATGGGGGCATGGACACTGCTGCACTGGCTCATCCTGGCACTGGGGAAAGCAGAGGCTTCGGAGGGGAACCTTCACAGAGCAGGATGCTCAGAGAGGAGAAGTCATTAGAGCTTTGCACTGAGTTTGTGATTGCTCTGAGGACTCAAAGGAATAAAAATGCATTCTCTTGGTGTAAGATTTGCCCATTCCTGTGATCCCAGCGCAGGTCAGCACTGGCACGTTGGTTAAAGGCTCACTCTGCCACCCATATCCATAAAGGGCTCCCCTGAAATCAGAAGCATCTCCTGAATTACAGGAAATGTCAAAAAGGAAAAGTATCTGCTTTAATTCATCTGCATCCAAAGGTGATGTCTGATGCTGACTGCGTAGCTTAGGCACACCTGGAAACTCATCCTGAACTGACTGGGAAGAGGGGAAAGTGAGGCAGGAACATGCTCTGGTGTGAGGGTACGATCAGGCATGGGAGAAAGAGCCCTGCAGCTAGGAAGGAGATAGGTGGGAAGGTGGGCTGAAATGGTAGAGGGTGACTGAGACACCAGTTAACCCCTCATTTCCCCTTGGCATCACTACACTTGGTGTTCCCAAGCAAGTATGTTCAGAGAGCAATACCAGCTCAAGTGCCAGGTTAAGCAGTCCCATACCTGCTTGGTTAAGTGCAAAGACCAGGCTAAGGCACCTTCTCTTCTCCAAGACATGGGGCTGTGTCATAATTAAGGCTTCCCTAATGAAATCCATGAGGAATGATGGAGTAAAGGGCCAGGCTGAAGCAGACTCTCTTACCAAACCATGGGTCTCACCAAACTGCTGAGGGTTAAACTACTCTAATTCATTGTTCCCTCTTAGTTGGTGTCTGATTCAAGTTATCCCCACAGAGAAAAGCAGTCATTAATTCCTTCCTCCTCTGCTTAGGGGGACTGGGGTAGATTAGAGGCATGGCCTGGGCAGTAGATTCCCACTATGTGCATCCAAGTGGCTCCTAAATGTCTTCCTAAATGCTGCTGGAATTAACTTCCCTCATCTGAAGGACCAGCTCCTGCTGGTTAGTTCTTGGGGGTTTCTCTTTTCTCCAGAGCTCTAACACTTGCCCTTCTCCATGCCTTTTGTATAGGACTGGATTAGAGTGAAAGTCCTTTGTTAGCAGCTTAACCACTCCATCCCTAAGCTCAATTGTACCCTGGGGATGAAAACTGAGCCATACCCAGTGAGAAGCTGCTGGGTTGGGGTCTGAAGGAAAGCCTGCTGGACCAGTGATCTGCCTGCCCAGCTTTGAGCAGCCTATTGCCTGAAGTGCCTACTTATGGACTAGAGCTGCTGCTGCTCTACTTAAAGGGTAAAGGCAGGAGTATCCTGAGAGTAATTCAAGTGTTAGGCAAGGTGGCCTGTGTGCTGGAGAGGCTCATCTCTCTCCTTTGAAGAGACATGAAGCCCAGATCGTAAGTGCCTCTGTGCTCAGCCTGAGTTAGATGGAGTGAATTGCCACCATTACTGCCTGAACTGGGGGCAGGATCCCAGCCTGATGTACTGGTCTGATCTGCTGCTGTGGATACATCCTGCTCTGAGGGTGACACTGCCTGGAAAACCCCATCTTGCAAAGGTACAAACAGAGCCAAAGAGCCCCTACCCTCCCTCCCTACAATTCCTCCTATTTCTGCCTTCCTTTTCTGCCTGGTTTGGTCTTTCTCCTGGCTTTGCTTGTTCTGCATTTCCTTCCTGGCAGAAACCTCTTTGCCTGTGTGAAACCTGGAGCATTGCTACACAACCAGAGCTCTTCTTCCTCCTCTCTGCTTAGTTCACAGACAGGCCTTTCCAACAGGAGCCATCTCACCCTTCGTATCTAGACACTGCCTTGCAGTTACCACAACTCCAAGTGTAGCATTCACACATCTTGTACTGGGAAGAGAATCCCACATGCAGCTGACCTTCAAACTACTGACCATAAGGCGGGCCTCTAAAGCTGTGCAAGTGGTCTGTAAGGGACCACACTGACCTCAAGCTATTATAGCTTGATCAGCCCAGAGACAGGCAAATTCATCCCAGTATCCTTGCTGAAGTGATCCCTTTCCAGGAACAGTTTCGGTTTGTGCCCCAGCTAATGCACATCATCAACCAGGCTCAGCAATCCAGTTCTGTCCACATTGTCCTGTTTGACTTTCCCTTGTTTCCCCACCCACTGCAGGGCAGCTCTTTGGGATGCACAGATTTAGAGTACCTGAGGGATCCATATCACTGCTATTCATCTGCTATCCTATATTAGTGAGTATTTCTGGATAGTTACCTGGTGTGATGCTGTTCTGGCCACAGCAGATGAAGCTGTGGACCTGGACTATGGCTGAGTGCATTAATGGGATTACAAACACACCATGGGAGCGGGGTCAGGAACTCACCTTCTGCCTCAGGCAAGCCAGTGCAGTCTCTGCTAGTTGAGAGGGTCCCCACTGTCCTTGTACTTGCAGTCCTCAGGCTGGTCCCCTTCCCTGGGCTGTGATGTTGCCGTGTCCTGCTCAGAGTCTACAGTCTTGTCAGAGCTGCCTTTCCCTGGGGGCAAAGGCTCTTTGTGCTCAGTGCCTTCAGCATCTTCACCTCCTTGCAGTGCAACTGCCTGCCCCTGCAGGGCAGTGTCTGGGCTCACTTCCTCCCCTCTTTCTCTCACCAGCTGTCTTTGACCTGCATCCAGTCTGTCTCCTGCTGCGTCCACCTCTCCCCCGTGGCTGTCTGCAGAGCCCTCAGTGGACTCCTGTTCTGAAGCTCTGCTTTTCTCTAAGGCAGCTCCATCTACATTCACTGCCCCAGGCAATGACAAGGTCTCCTCACTGCCATGCCTGGTGGCCTGCACGGTGCTTGGAAGGCTGCTCCGTGAAGGAGTGCTGTCAGTGCTCTCCTGAGGGATGTCAGCAGGGTCAGCCTTCCCATTGGCATCTTCCCCAGCCCCTTCATTACTTGGCTTGGGCCCTGGCTCCAAGTCTCCTGTGCTGGCCACAGACACCTCCACGCTGGAGCCCTTCACTCCTCTGCGCTCCTCCTTCCGACCACTGTGGGCAGAATGGACCTTTCCACCTTTGAGCCTTTGTGATGAGGAGGCCCCATGATCCTGGGGGTTTGGCTGTTTGAGCTCCTCCGGCTCAGCTGTGCAGTTCTCTTCCACTCCCTCCTCACCTCTGCTCTTCCGCTTCTCCACACCAAGGCTCTTCTGAGGAAAGAAGGAGGTATTTAGTTCAGCTTAGTCAAATACCAGGATATGGTATTCCTTGTCTATGATAGTTCTCAAAATGGGAGGAAATGCTTGCAGAGGCCACTAAAGGACGTAAAAGGATGCGGGTGGAGAAGTGTTCAGGTACCAGAATCAGTGGGGTTTGTTGTGCTGATAGAGGATCAATGCAGGAAGTGAAGCTGCTCTCACATCATCTGGTGAGTGCTCACAAGGGCACATTTACCCTATCACAGAGGTCTCCCAGCCCTGCCCTGGTTGAGAGCCCCAAGGGCACTGAAGGGGCATGTTCTGAGAGAACTCAGCAGCCAGCCTTCATCTCCTGAGCTCACCTGGCTGTCGAGGTCATCCTTCACAAACGCCATGTCCTCTCCTTCTTTTGCGTCCCATCTGTCAAGGAAATACATGAATGAAAGAATTCACAATTCAGGCCTTCAAGTTATAGAATCACAGAATGGTTTGGGCTGGAGGGACCTTAAAGCCCATCCAGTTCCAAGCCCCTGCCATGGGGGTCTAGTGATGCCTCACATCAGACCGTGTTGCTCCAAGCCCCTGTGTCCCACCTGGCCTTGAACACTGCCAGGGATGGGGCAGCCACAGCTTCTCTGGGCACCCTGTGCCAGCGCCTCAGCACCCTCACAGGGAAGAGCTTCTGCCTTATCTCCAACCTAAACTTCCCCTGTTTCAGTTTGAACCCGTTACCCCTTGTCCTATCACTACAGTCCTTGATGCAGTGTCCATCCCCAGCATCCCTATAGGCCCCCTTCAGACACTGGAAGCTGCTCTGAGGTCTCCACGCAGCTTCTCTTCTCCAGGCTGAACAGCCCCAACTTTCTCAGCCTGGCTCCATACAGGAGCTGCTCCAGCCCCTGAGCATCCTCGTGGCCTCCTCTGGACTTGCTCCAACAGCTCCATGCCCTTCTTATGCTGAACACCAGAACTGCACCCAGTGCTGCAAGTGGGGTCTCACCAGAGCAGAGTAGAGGGGCAGGATCACCTCCTTGGACCTGCTGCTCACACTCTCCTATGGCAAAGCCACTCTCCCTGCCTGATCCTTAGGAGGAATTCTGACCAGGGCCATGCATTCCTTGTCTGAGCCCCTTGACCAGGTAATGAGAGATAAAGGCAGCGGACAAACTGGTCCAGTTCCTTTTGGCACCTGCTACAGCACTCAGCCCTTCCAGACGCTCATCTGAGACCACTAAATCTTAATGAACTGGTTGTTATAGTCCTAAATGTAATGAAAACATAAAATCCAATTGCCAGAACAGACAGGGGCTGTTAGACTAATAAGATATGTATAAATTTGTTTATGCTGGTGTCTGCCACAGTCTCATCCTGCTGCCTGACAGGGCCCAAGTGTCCCACATCTCCACGGCAGCAGACAGAGGCACACAGCAAGGGATAAAATGGCTTTGGAGTAAGCAGCTTGGGAGATTGGAGACATGGACACGTGCAAGCAGATCGCAAGGATGCCATAGGATCAGCCTGAAGCTCTCTGCCCCTCTCAGCATCACTGGCAGATGCTTACGTTAGAGTTTGGAAAGGGGGTAAATGATTTAATGCCTCCCAGTACTCCCCCAGGTTCCAGAAACGTGCAGCTCTGGGATTCCCTGAGCCTGGATGGTCTCCCTGTGTTGAGTCATGCTTAGGAGACAACCTCTTCCAAGGATCTGTGCAAGTGCATTTTGACCCCAAATACATTTGCAGCAGCTACAGCATCCTGTGGACAGCTCAATGAAAGGCTGTGATGAACTGCTTGCTTTTATAGAATCACAGAACAGTTTGGGTCGGAGAGGACCTTAAGATCATCCAGTTCCAACCCCCTGCCATGGGCAGGGACACCTCACACTAAACCATGGCACCCAAGGCTCTGTCCAACCTGGCCTTGAACACTGCCAGGGATGGAGCATTCACAACCTCCCTGGGCACCCATTCCAGTGCCTCAGCACCCTCACAGTGTTGTTTGTATTTGCTAATGTGGCTATAGATCTGAATGTGCCCATGCAGTGCTATTGAGCAGGGAGGGATCTCAGTATCCCTTAGCTCTTGTATGTGTGCCTGGTGAGTGGTATCACACACAAACATGTATATAATACACACATTCCTCCCTGCCCCATACTCTTAAAGCACATGTGCAAAGGTGGGTGAGGTCTCATTCTTCTCTGCTGTTCTTACCAGCCTCTTCATATGGCAAATCTGGATCAAGACACAGACGCACATTGAGGTGACTGCAGTCAGGCGTTTCCAGAGGCCGGAGTGTTACAGGGACCCCTGTGCCCTTGTGGAAGTTGTGTGGGATTTACATCACAGGCTCCACCACACCATCACACTAAGCTGCTCCACACTGTCGCTGTATCTTGCACTGTCCTTAGGGCAGAAGTGAACTGCATTTACAAGCACCTCAAAGCTCTCAGAGCCAGAGGGGGAAGCAGCTTGGAGCAGTCCTACAGGGCTTGGAGACAGACCCAGCACCAAACCACAGCCGGGGGTCTTGTCCTGAATACACGAGGTCCCTGCCACTCCGTGTCCAGCTCAAACCACAAAAGGGACCCTTTCTTATAAGCAGTCCCCACCCCTGGTGTTCTATTTGCCATGGTGCCCTGTAGGGATTCTGAACATCAGCCTGTAGGAATAGAGCTCATCATACAGAGACAAGCATGTCCAATTCCAGCATGGGCTGCCCTGGTGATCAGTTCCCCTCTGCACGCAGCACTGATGCTGGTGGGACCAATGACTGCTCTCCCTGGATGGATATCTAAAGAGAGGAATTACAGGTTTCTGCCTCCCCCTGCTCCATCTGCTCTAGCACTGCATGGCTCCTGCAGAGCCAGCCCAGAACAGACCACCCACACAGGCCTAAAGATAGCCCACACTAGCTAGACAGCAATTCTGAAACACTCAGCATCTCCTCCCCATCATTACCATGAACACACCAGTGTTATTAATGACTATGAGGCAATGAAAATGCTCAGTGTGTTCCCTAGCATGGCCAGTGCTATCCATCACAGATGCTCAGAGGGGAGCTTGGCTTCAAATTCTTTATGGGCAAGATGCTGCTGGAAGTCACCACCAGATGCTCCAAAGGGGTCTTAGCACTGCTCTTGAGTTGCTTGGACCTAAACTGCAGAGGAATCTAAGTGATAAAGGGCAGATACAAGTGAAGGTAAGGGATACTCAGCACCTCAAGGACTCCCTGAGCTGAGGTTTGAAATTAGAGGAGAAGCTGCAGGAATGGCTCTTCCCAAAGAGAAGCAGTGGAGCAAAGGATGCTCTTCAGCTCATCAGCTGTTCTTTCCAAGTACATTTTATTGGGATGGAGCTGAGGGCAGCAAGGGATGGAATATACACACTAACAAAGATAACTGGATTATTTGCATGCTGCTGATCTCATTCTTCATTGATTATCAGATTTAAATTTAATTGTTAAAAGCGTGATTAACTGAGAGGGCTCAGGAAGGCACAAGACACCCCATCTTTATGCTGGAAGTGGATTCCCTGTCTGCAGCACAGCCAGCTGAGAGCTATGGCTGCTCGGGTGCATTTTCTCTATGTTCAGCCACTGCAAACAAAAGCAACGTAAGATCTTCAGCCTTAATGCAGTGCCAGGCTCTGCACAGTAGACCTGCTCCAAGAAACCTGGAGAGGGGCTTGGGACAAGGGCCTGTAGGGACAGGCCAAGGAGAATGGCTTGAACCTGCCTGAGGGGAGACTGAGCTGAGCTCTTAGGCAGAAGCTCTTCCCTGTGAGGGTGCTGAGGCGCTGGCACAGGGTGCCCAGAGAAGCTGTGGCTGCCCCATCCCTGGCAGTGCTCAAGGCCAGGTTGGACACAGGGGCTTGGAGCAAGCTGCTCCAGTGGAAGGGGTCCCTGCCTGTGGCAGGGGTTGGAGCTGGAGGAGCTTTAGGGTCCCTTCATCCCAAACCACTCTGGGATTCTATGATTAGGAGAAGGCTGTGTGGAGACCTCATAGCAGCCTTCCAGTGTCTGAAGGGGGCCTATAGGGATGCTGGGGAGGGACTCTTCATTAGGGACTGTAGTGACAGGACAAGGGGTAATGGGTTCAAACTGAAACAGGGGAAGTTTAAGGAAGAAGTTCTTTCCTGTGAGGGTGCTGAGGCACTGGAATGGGTTGCCCAGGGAGGCTGTGAATGCTCCATCCCTGGCAGTGTTCAAGGCCAGGTTGGACGAGGCCTTGGGTAATATGGTTTAGAGCGAGGTGTCCCTGCCCATGGCAGGGGGTTGGAACTGGATGATCTTAAGGTCCTTTCCAACCCTGACTATTCTCTGATTCTATGATTCTATTGTCCTGAAGCAGCAGAATCCTGCACACACAGACGCTGCCCAGCACTCTCCATGTCAGCCAGTAACATCAAGCAGCAGCTCACCTCCAGCTAACTCACTTCTGGTGGGCAACACTGTGAGTGCCCATGCAGCACATCTCTGCACATCATAGCTGCACGGTCACAACTGACCTGCATGGCTGAAGAATGCCAACGTTAAATGCTGCTGGAATGGTTTTATATGGATAAATGAAGAGGCTTGGGGTCTGTAATCAAGCCTTCACCCTGCTGTTGCCCACTAAAGGGATGGCAGTGCTGAGATGCCAGTCACTGTTATTAAACTGCTGGAAAGTGCACTCAAGTTTAATTATGAAGAGCAGCAGGGGAGGGGACCCCTGGGAGGATGTGGATGAACCTGTGAAGCACACTCTGCTCTGCTGATACTCTGAAATGAATTCAGTGCAAAGTAGTACATTGCTGTGTGCTGCCCACAGCAGGAGCAGGTCACCTCCTCCTCACCAGCCTGCGATCTTCAAGGACTGTTTAAGAAGGGGCATCTGTACCACAGCATCAATCCCAATCACTATCAGTTCAGCTGAGAACTATGTTTGGAGGCTGCTCCTTTATATCAGCAGTGACTGGAAGTCAGGTAAGATTAAGTGTTCAAGGCTAGGTTGGACAGGGACTTGAGCAAACTGCTCTAGGGGAAGGTGTCCCTGCCCATGACAGGGGGCTGGAGCTGGATAAGCCTTAAGGTCCCTTCCAGCACAAAGCAGTCTGATTCTAAGTGAAGTCCTGCTAGTCCTGCTCCCAGCCAACGTGAACTCACACAAACAGCTGCTGTTCAGATGGAACAATATCATTTCTTGCCTGTCCCTCTTCACAACTCAGCAAGGAATGAGGCCTAGATGTGTGTACCCCAGTCATCAGGTGGGATACTGCAGTGCTGCCATCCTCCTTACCTCCTGGCTCTGCCGGTCAGCCTGTCCTTGCCTTTGGCTCGGCTGCTCACTGCAGGTACCACTTTTGGACCAGGATTGCTCGCGTTTCCTCCACCTAGAAGACAGGTTGGAAATGCCATGGAGGAGCAGGCAGAAGCAGCTGGTGGACCACAGAAATGGCCAACATCCTTCTGTGACTGGGAAGCACCTCTGCTGGGGCAGCCTCTGAAGCTCTATGCATACAATACATATCTTATCTAAAATAATAAATACAAATTGAGAATTTAGGGGTGTTTTTTCTATATTTTCTATTCCAAATTCCAATTACAACTTCAAATCATGCCTTGGCTAGTCTGCCTGCTGCTGTTCTTGGAAGCCTTGTTCCTGTTCTCCCTTGCCACACAGCACAGACCGTACCACACAGCTACGAGGGCAGCCACATGGCATGTTCCCAAAAGGCACTCCAAATCCATGAGCATGCCTGGCAAGAACCCTCTCCATGAGGCGCTGACGTTCAGTGGGGTGACAGAACCGAGTCCTGTGCTTTACTCACCTCTCCCATCGGGAGGAAAGGATTTGTGCTGGAATTTCCTTGCGTTTCTTCCCCCTGAAAGGACAAAGCAAAGCATGCACAGAAGTGAGCGAGGCTCTGCAATGGACACGCAGCACAAAGCCTGGCATTCACATAGGGTGTCACAAGGGAAAGCTTTGTTCTGCCAGTCCATCTCCTGAGCAACAGGAGTCATGATGGACTTATGCTAGTAAAGAAGCCAGCAGGTGCCACAGGGATCAGAGGTGATGTGCTCTGGAACAGGACTGCCTCTCAACCCAGTGTCTGGGAAAGGAGGCAGCGCTGAGCCTCCCTCCGCACTGTGTCGTACAAGGTTACAGAAGCCACTGCTCTCCCTGGGGAGGTAAAAAGCACTAGCACCCAGCTGCTCAAACCCCTCCCCTGAGCACTCTGCAAAGCAGAGAGGGCTGAGACCCCAGCACTGCGCTCAGAGGCCCAGAAAGGCAGAGTGTCCCAACTGACAGCACGGCGGCTGCTGCGGCACTGGGATTGCAGGATCAGCGTTCACTAAGCGTCAGGACAGAGTCTGGGTGTCCCTTGCCAACCTTTCTTATTGCTGGGATTATCCAAGGCTGGCTCCCCATCCTCTTCAAACCTGCAGGTTAAAAACAGGCATTGTCAGACCTGAGCGTTCTCCTCCAGTGTGCAAAGCATGGGCAGGAGACCTCGAGACGACGCAGGCTCCAGCCTCGGCCCTTCTGCACCAGCCCACTGGTACATAGAGGTTTAGCAGCAGGAGCTGAAGCTGCATGCACCAACCAGGAGAAAGGAGGCTGTGAGGCAATACTACCCCAAAGGAGAACCTCCAAAACCTTTACATCAGTACCCAGTTGTATAGACTGACTTCCGTGAACATCCATGAAGCCTTGAGGTGCCTGTAGCACAGCTGTAGCATGCTCCAATGCAGCTTCCAAACACAACCTAAAGGAGCTTCAGGACTTGCCATCTCAGATCAGACTCTTTCAGTTGGTTTCTACTCCTGCTTGGTTTGTAGTATGGTGTTTCTCTTAAAAATGGATAGATGGGAGAACACAGGGCTCAAAGCTCTCTTGCCAGCAACACTCAGCACCTGCTTAAATCAATTCCCCTCTCTCAGCTGGGGTCTCAGGGACTGAAAATCTGTGTATTTGATCCTATTCCTCAGCCAAAACATCATCCCACCTATCTGCCCTGTACAAACTCCTACCAGCAAACCTACAGAGCACTCCCCAACTCCACACCCTACCAAAACCCGTCCTGCTGCAGGTGCCAGGTCATCCTCCAAAGCTCTCCAGCTGCTGACCCAGTGGAACAAGCACAGTTAGAGAGACTGTTTAAAGCAGGGAAGTGTCAGACCCCATTAGGAGCTCTCCCATAGTGTCTCCTGCATGTCCACATATCATACAGGCAGCTCTGAAGCGATCCCCTCACACTGCCGTGCCTGAACCAGCTCAGTTTATGAGGTGTGGAGGATTCAGGCATATTGGCCTGTCCTGTGATACAAAGAAGGAACAAGCAAGGCAGTGCCAAAGCCTGTGGACGAGCAATGTGAGTTTGTCCATCCCTGTTTCTAGAAGAGCACCTGCACCCTCCTGCCACTGGATTTGTCCATGTGGGGATAGAGAGAATCCTCCAGATGCTGACTGAGCGTTGACTCGTGCTCACCTCCCTCCCACAGTCCAAGTCCTGGCTGGACCCAAGGCAGGCAGTCTGTCAGCACACACTATTTCCTATGGGGTAGGAGCCCTCAGCTCAGACAGAACACGTGAGAGTCACTCTGATATCTGTTCCCACTGATCGACATGGTCAGGAGGAGGAAGAGCAGTGTGGGTTTGCTCAGGGAGAGGCACATGCAGCTCATCACTGCACACGAGCTCAGCACCGGCTGCAGGCGGCCTGGGGCAGACAAAGCACCCGGGACAGGGGAGGACCTACATGTGCTCTGACTTCTCCACATCCCAAGCCCGTCGCCACTCGCCCTTGGCGTTCTTGTGCCGTGCCACTCGCTCCAGGTCAATCTGGTCCCGCTCCCGCTTCCAGCGGAGGTACTCTGAGCGCTCCCGTCCCGTCATGGGGAAACTGAGGTCTGCAGGGCTCTTCGGGACTGACTTCCCAGCATCCTAACACAGGGGAGAGAGCTGCTCGTTAGTAACAGTGGCTGAAGGAGCTGCATTCCGGGCACTTTGTGCTGCCACCACCAGAGATGCTCAGCAACACCTGAAACGGGTCAGAGCAAGGTCAGCTTCTCTCTCTGAAGTGATGTGCACCCACACAGTGCTTTACCCACAGGCTGAACACACTGGTCCCAGTGCTGGCTGACTTTACAGGGAGGAGAAGAGAGGCAGAAGAGGTCACAAAGCTTGGAGGGAGTGCTGTTGTAAATCCATACTCAGATCAGAACAAGCCACCATTCCCTCCCAGGGGTATTCCACAATGAGAATCTGTGGCAGTGGGTTCCTGAGAAGTTGTCCCACTTCACCCAGACTACACAAAGAGTGCTTCATTTCAAAGGATTAACATTGCTTCCACATAACCCTTGTACTTTGCCATCTGCATACACTCCTGTTGCCTTAATGAGATGGGGCTTTGCTGCTGTTTCCCCCACCTGAACCACAACGGTTCTTTGGTTCTCACTGCACCAAACCTCCTGATGTGGGAGGCAGATGCCAGAAGATGCTGTTTTTCATTCTAGATACTCAATACCCAATTCCAAACTTTGAAAACATGCTTTAATTCCATGTGCAAATGGCCACAGGATCGATTCACCCCATCTGTACTTACAGTCACTTTAACTGCAGGCACAAACCTCACAGTGGCTGTGGCCTGCTGTGCTCCTGCTCACCTGAAGGTTTTCAGACCAAATGGTCTGAGGTTTTCCTGGAAGAGGCTCTTTGCTAAGGTTTGCTTATGGCACATAGCTCCTGGAGTGCCTGCTACACCTCCCAGCCGACTCTGAGAGCCTGAACTCTCATAGAAGATGCTGATTAATCCCCCTCCTTGAACACTTTGGTACACTTATATGCCTTTGAAATCCTTCATGCTCGTAGGGTCCTGAAGGAAGGCATCCTTCAGAGCTGCAGTTATGAGGCTGGGGTGAACCCTGCACCCAGGGGATGCAGTACTGTGGTGGCCAGGAGCAGCATCCTCAGAGCAAAGGGTCTCTGCCTTCACTGCCTTCAGCCTCTTGGTTTAGCCCTCCTCCTCATGACACACTAGTTAACTGCTGCCACTGTTCAAAACCTTAAAGCTTAATGAGGAGATAGCTCAGAGCTGATGGAGCATGGAGGGGCTGGGGGTAGCCCCGCTGTCAGGTTAATGGCCGTGGTGGAAACAGGAGCCAAGAGGCCATGGTGTGCTGTCAAGCAACACTGCACAGCAAATAGCTTAGTGCAGAGCTGAGTCCTGGGGTGCTAATTACCAGCAGCTAATTCATCACTTCCTACACGTGCCTTTCCCTCACCCCTTCCCCAACAGGGATTAACTCCTCGGTGTGGCAGCACGGATAAAAGCAGAGCAGGGAGGAAGGAGGGACCGAAAGCCCTGTTACCAAGGAGACCCACCCGCGTGGGCTGGAGATGGGGTGGCAGTAATTGCTCCTCCATTCGTTAGCTGGCAGGAGCTGGGGACCTGAACTGCATCCCCAAGGAGGGGGGGTGAGGTCTGCACAAAGGCAAACACACTGGGGTGAAGCCAGGTGAAGCACTGGTCCCTGGGCTGGGGCACAGGCCCAGGGATGCTCCCCGCAGCTTCCAGCCCCATGGTGTGGTAAGACGTGTCCTACCATGATGGATCCTGATGTACCAAAAAGGAGAAGCATGCAGAGCTGAGCATCACACAGCAGGGTTCAACCTCCAGAAGGTGGAGGATGAGGAAGGGGTCCTGAGCCATTACCTGGACCCTTTGCAAAGGAGAAACCAAAAGCAAAGGAAAGGCTGAGCCTGATGCCCCTGCTCATGGGTAGATGCAGAGGTGGCTGAGCAGAGCAGGGGGAGCTGGTCCCTGGCTGGGCTCCCCTTACCTGCAGCATAGCTCTGCTTAGCTGGACCACAAGGCTCTTGTGCTCCCCTTTCTTCTGCTCAAGGGGATCTCAGCTGGAATTAATGTTTAAGAGCCCATCTGTGTCCTCCTAATGAAGCACACTGAGGTGGGGCTATTCAATTTGTGCTCCATTAATTAAAGCATCTGCAGGCTCAGGGGAGCCACACGTCCTCCAGAGTCTGCATTCAACAGTGAGAGGGAAGCTCTGTGCTTTAATTTACCTCCATCCTAGCCAGCTTCTGCAGAAGTGAGGGGCTGAAGCTCAAACAGCCTGAGCCTTTCAACACACAAGCAAAAGGTTCTGGGAGAGAAACCAGCTTGGGCTGTGCTGCCACACGGGTGAGCTCCTTACCCTTTGTTAACAGCCCTGCTGCTGTGCTGGGGAATTAAGCAGCCATGACAAGGTGGGAAGGGCAGGTTCCCTGTCACCTCTTTCCAGTGCTGATGCTTCATAGAAACATAAAATCCCGGCCTGGTTTGGGTTGGAAAGGAGCTTAAAGCTCCTCCAGCTACAACCCCTGCCACAGGCAGGGACCCCTTCCACTGGAGCAGCTTGCTCCGAGCCCCTGTGTCCAACCTGCCCTTGAGCACTGCCAGGGATGGGGCAGCCACAGCTTCTCTGGGCACCCTGTGCCAGCGCCTCAGCACCCTCACAGGGAAGAGCTTCTGCCTAAGAGCTCAGCTCAGTCTCCCCTCGGGCAGGTTCAAGCCATTCCCCTTGGCCTGTCCCTACAGGCCCTTGTCCCAAGCCCCTCTCCAGGTTCCCTGCAGCCCCTTTAGGCACTGGAGCTGCTCTCAGGTCTCCCCTTCAGGAGCCTTCTCTTGTCCAGGCTGAACCAGCCCAGCTCTCCCAGCCTGGCTCCAGGTGTGTTATCTGCTCAGCAAAGCTTTGGATGATGAGAGGGCTGAATGGTGGGCACCACATCAGAGCACACAGATGCTTCCTTTAGGGCTGAGGCAGCTCTTACTGTCTGGGATGTGCATCCTACTGGTTTTCTCTTCCAACACAAGGATCCCCCCAGAGGGGCACAGGATCCCACTCACCTTCTGTCTGTGCTCACTTTCTGGGCCTCTGTCACTGTCTGATCTCCTCTTCTCTGCTGTTCTCCTCTCTTCTGCCTGCAAGAGCATGGACACAGGAATTATGTCAAGCATTAAGCAAGGCCTCCTGGCAGAGGTGTCACTGCCTGACCCTGTGCCCACCAGAACACATAAGAGCTGCCCTGGAAAGGTCAGAAAAAGAGGGAAGATTGGTTTCTGGCCAACAAGGTAAAGACTTCTGTCCCTGTGAACTGTGATGCTCGTCCACTGAGGTCCATCCCTGCTTCCTCAGGGTTTAGCCATGCTGCATGTTCTGCTCCGGTGTTCACAACCCCCAGCCTGGCAGGAGGTGAAAATCAGCCCCTTTGTCTTAATGAACCGCAGACACTAAACAGGAGGCAGGGCACAGGCCAGGCAGTTCTCTGCCCCTGTGTGGGACTGATCCTACAGGCAGGGCCATGCAGAGCCCAGGCTGGGACCACAGGGGGCTGAGCCCAACAGTCTGCAGAGCATGAATGCCTTTAAGAGAGGCTTTGTGCCCTGGCTGGGTAAGGCTGCTGGGTGCCACCAGGGGCTGCTTGTGGGCAGAAGAGGGCAGGGTACCAGCAGGTCCCTGATGCTGCGGAGCCCCCAGGCAGGGGCTGGTGTGTGCTGGGGGCTCTGCGCTGGGGCTGTGTCAGCCTCACACTAACACTGCCACAGCGAGAGGCTCGGGGGTGCTGCAGCAGCAGAGCCCCAGGTTCCCCTCCCTGTGAGCTGCTGCGGGGGGGGAGGCTGAGGTCACCACGGTGCCATTCTGCAGTGCCAAGCAAAACCAACACAAAGAGGAAACAGAGCACAAAGCCCAGCTCAGCGCTTCCAGAAAGCGGTGGTGCAGGGAGGGCCAGCGCGGGCTGGAACAGGGCTTTTAGCCCAGGCCTTTGCCAGCCCCAGGTTTAGCCCAGCATTACAGGGCTGGGTGTGGGGAGCTCAGGGGGGACCTGATGGCTGCCTTCAACTGCCTGACAGGAGGATGGAGCCAGGAGGGGCTGGGCTCTGCTCCCAAGGAACAAGGGATGGGACAAGAGGAACCGGCCTCAAGCTGCACCAGGGCAGGGTTAGATGGAGCTGAGGAACAATTCCTGCCCCAGAGGGTGCTCAGGCATTGGAACAGGCTGCCCAGGGCAGGGCTGCAGGCACCGGCCCTGCAAGTGCTCACACCCCGTGGAGATGAGGCCTCGGTGCCATGGGTTAGGGGTGGCCTTGGCAGTGCTGGGGTAGGGGTTGGACTGGATGAGCTTGAAGGGCTTTTCCAGCCTGGTTGATTCTGTGATTCTATGAAGCTCAGGATACCAGCCACAGTTCCTGCTGGCTCTGCCCAGCCTCCAAAGGCAGCTCATCCCACTGCAGCCCTTCCCATGTACCTGGTGGGACTGGCAGGGAGCAAGCTGGGGACAGTCTTTTGGGCATTGTCCACAGGGGCCAAGCCTGAGGCAGGTGGGAAATGTGACCGCAGAGCCAGTGCTCATGGCCATTGCACTCAGTGCATGACGGCTTCATGGGTCTGACTGGTGTGAAGCTTGTGTAAATAGACCCTTGGAAACAATGAGGAAGGTGTCAGCTGTATTGTCCTAGGGGTTCTCAGTGAACTTCCAGTGCCTAAAGGGGCTGCAGGGAACCTGGAGAGGGGCTTGGGACAAGGGCCTGTAGGGACAGGCCAAGGGGAATGGCTTGAACCTGCCCGAGGGGAGACTGAGCTGAGCTCTTAGGCAGAAGCTCTTCCCTGTGAGGGTGCTGAGGCGCTGGCACAGGGTGCCCAGAGAAGCTGTGGCTGCCCCATCCCTGGCAGTGCTCAAGGCCAGGTTGGACACAGGGGCTTGGAGCAAGCTGCTCCAGTGGAAGGGGTCCCTGCCCATGGCAGGGGTTGGAGCTGGAGGAGCTTTCAGGTCCCTTCCAACCCAAACCAGGCTGGGATTCTGTTTAGGGAGAGACTCAGCCAGCAGGAACCTGGGAACTTTGCTCATTGGAGGGGCTGGCTGGGGAGCAGGGTGCAGATGGATGCTCAGCCTCTAAGGCAGCTGTAAAAGAAACTCACAGTTTAGGAAGAGTCCAAAGGAATGAGCTGCTGTGGAAGAGCTGGAGCCCCTCTGTCCCTGGGGCACCCTGTGTGGGAGGAGGACTGGAGGCAAGGAGCCCTGATTGCCTCGGGAATGCCAAAGACAGCTCCTAATGAATGGGGAAACTGAGGCAGGGAGCTGCATGGGCGTGCTTATTGTTTCATTTCAGTCTGCATGCTTCTCATTCAAGCTCATGCATAATGTGATTCAGTCGGGATTCCTGACAATGCCTGATTGTGTTCCCGAAGACGGAAGCCGGAGCATCCGCAGAGCCCCAGCACTGAGCCAGGCTGTGAGTAACGGCGAGGGGAGCAGCGTGTGAGCCTCTGCCTGGCTGCAGCTCAGCTCCACTCCGGCCCTGCCTCTGCCGAGGGGCAGCAAAGGGAGAGCCTGCGCCCAGGAAAGGGGCCGGGAGGAGACCCAGCCCCTGTGTGTGCCTGCGTCCCGCTCCAGGCTGTCCCGTCCTGGGCACCAGCTCACGGGTGCACACCACAAACCCCTCCATCACAGGGACTCGGTGCCTCTCCATCCTTTTACACCCGTCACACCAAGCCAGGCTGCCTGTTCCCTTAGCCTGCTTCTGTTTCTGCTTCTCAAAGGGCCTGTGGAAAAGAGAGAGGAGCAGCAAAACGCTGTTCTTTCCTAGCAGGGATGCTGCTCTGCACTGGACGGGGTCAGCTCTGCTTTCACAGAACCAGCCAGCTTGGAGAAGCCCTTTAGGGTCGTTAAATCCAAGCATCACACTTTGCACGGGCTCAGCAGCAGATCCTCACACTGGCTCCGTGCTGCCCCAGCGCTGCTGGCAGCCTCCCCGGCACACCCAGGCCATGGGGAAGCAAAACATGTTTTTCCCCTCCTTCCTCCTCTCCGCCCCCCAAATGATGACATCTGACAATGGCATTGTCATGTCATGGTTTAACTGCTCCTGCTCAGCAGGGAGGAGACGGGAGGAGGGAGCAGAAACCCAAAGCAGGCAGAGATTATGTCTGTTTATCCTCAGATCTGGGCAAGGGCTTCTTGGTTTCTCAGCCGTGGAAGGGCTCTGGGTGGTGCAGAGCCTGCTCCTCACCAGGATACAGCCCTGGGATCCCAAATCCTTCCTGATGCTGGCTCTGTCTGACTTCCTGATACACCCAGCCTGTGTTAATGTGCAGTGGTGACAACGCTGATGCCATTACCCAGCCATCTTGAGGATTGTTTTAGACTAAGTTCTCCAAACCAAAAGCATTACCAGGCTTTGACATCTTGGGGCTTCTTCACTATGTTCTTGTTTTAAGCATAAAGACCAAGAGATGTGCTGAATTAACCTTCTGGTACCCGCTTCTCCAGGCATGTGGCAGCACCAGAACTGGCATTTCTCCTGCAGGAGGAGACTCTTTTAAGAGCTTGGAGCTGGTTCTCCAGTGCTTGGGTCCCCCACTGGGATCCATGGGGCAGGAGGTTTGAATCCAGTACATCAGAGGGTATTCTTCCTATCTCTTTTGGAAACTCTGCCTCCTGATAGTGCTGCTGAAGGGGGCTGAAGCCTTTTCAGCCCCTTTTCTGCCCATCTTCCCCTCCCACCTGCAATGTAAAAGCCACTGTTTCTCCAGCAATAGGTTTGCTTTCTCTCCTACACAAGCACAGGAGTCAGGCTCATCTGTGTCAGCCCCTGAAAGCTGCTTCTGTGTCTCTTGATTACAAACAGTCATTTCTGATACAGCATCTGGGAAACTCTGTTAATAAAAGGCCAGTTTAAAAGCCCTGAAGCCCTATCAACTGCCTGTTTAACAGATGATTTGTAACCTGCTAAGTAACCATTGTGCTCCACTGGTCCTGGGCTGCTGGCTCGCAGCTCTGATGCATCAGTGAGCCTGAAACGCTGCCAGAGCACGCAGTGGCTGGTAGGAAAACTGGTGCTAAACATCAGGCATTCCTGCTTGAAGAAAAAGCCCTGATGCAGACACAGGGGCAGCCAGGCAGAGGTGGGAAGAAAGGTCCCAGATGGGGCACCTCCAAGGCAGCAGCAGCACTGGAGGCTGTGGAGTTGCATCAGTTTCCATGGTAGAAGATGAGCAGGGGGTGCTGCTGGAACATGAACTGCTCAACATGCTCATAAATGGTCTGGAAAAGGAACAGGGAGATGACAGTTTGCCCACGATACTAAATCACCCAGGGCAGAGAAAGTTAGCTGCCAGAAGAGAGCTACAAAAGATGCCTTGACATTGAATGCCTGCATCATAAAATTACAGATGAAATTCAGTACCATAGAATCACAGAATCAATAGAAATAACACAAAATAACTCACATGGAGAAAAATGCTCCTTCTTACACACAGACACACAGGTCCTGAACTGTGATTGATGCCCAGGAATGAAACTGGGGTGTTCTGGTGACTGGTTCTCTGAAAACGTTAGCTCAATGATTTAGAAATAAAGCAAAGAAAGCACAGAGTTGTTAGGAAAAGAACAGAGAACAAGCCAGAAACGTTGTTCTGTCCCTGAGTACATCCACAGCTTGAATCCTTGTATTGAAAGAATACAGTAAAAGCAACAAAGGGTAATGAGAGCGATCAGGAACACAGAACAGGTTCCTCACCAGCCATGTCTAAATGGGGTGAGTCTCTTAAAGTGGATGGAGATGAGAAATGGGTCTGTAAAGCCATCTGTGCTGTGGGGACATGAGCAGAGGATGATTCATGCACTGCTTCCCACGACACAGAAACACCCAGTGGAGTGTGCAGGTAACAAGTGTGAAGAACAAGAAGGGATGGATGTTTCCACACAGGACATCACTTAACATTGCAGCTCCTGGCTGGAGATGTGGGGGACAAAGTTTAGGTGGACTCAGAACCAGAGAAAGATTAGAATTCAGGCAGGAAAAAGCCTGATGCTGGTTTTGGCAGGGGAGGTCCCTAACTTGGGTGGGTGTAGGAGGGGAGGGATGAGTGCTGGACCAACCTCCTTCAAGGCCAGGTTGGACACAGGGGCTTGGAGCAAGCTGCTCTAGCAGAAGGTGTCCCTGCCCATGGCAGGGGTTGGAACTGGTTGGTCCCTTCCAACACAACCCATTCCATGAGTCCATGATTCTCTGGTTTCCCCTGATGCTGTGCTGCTGGCTGCTGCTGCAGATACTCGGTGTTAGGGCAAAACCCTGCTGTGATAACACCAGTGCCTGGCCCACGATGGGAGGGACCCAGCTCTGCTGCAGTGCTGGGGTTGCTTGGGGCTGCAGAGCCACTGGACACAATTCCCTGTTCACCAGCTGCTTCCCTGTTTGCCACTTTCCCTGGAGGGAGGCTGTGCTGAGCCACCCAGGATTGCTCACACGCCTCTTGTCACCACACACACTATAACCCTGCTTACATGGCAAGGACCGACATCCAGGGCTGCCAGGGTTGGTGGATGCTGGGATCCCACCAGTGCTGCTGGGATTTGGCTTCTATTCCCCAAATGATTTGCTGTCTTCAACATCCCAGCTCAGCTCTGCAGGCTGAAGTCATTTAACAGAGGTTGTACAGAGTCGGGAATTACTGACTCTGATCTGCTCTTTGCAGTCTTCCAGCACCTCTTGGAGCTCATTGCTCTGAGGCACAGCATGAGACAGACTTAGAATCACTGAATCAACCAGGTTGGAAAAGAGCTTCAAGCTCATCCAGTCCAACCCCTACCCCAGCACTGCCAAGACCACCCCTAACCCATGGCACTGAGGCCTCGCCTCCACGGTATGTGAGCACTTGCAGGGCTGGTGCCTGCAGCCCTGCCCTGGGCAGCCTGTTCCAATGCCTGAGCACCCTCTGGGGCAGGAATTGTTCCTATTTTCCAGTCTAAAAACCTGCCTGGTTTCCATTTTGCAAGCACTGTCACCCTCAGAAGAAAGAAGCACTGCTTTCAAACACTAACCCTTAGGAGCAGCTAAGTGCCAGGATGGGCCAGACCAAACCTCCCTGGATTCAACCAGCCCAAGCTGGCATGAGGCTGGGATGCCAACGTGATCTGTCACTTCAGGCCCCATCTGCTTCTGTCACTGATCCTGGGAAAAGGTTGGCCAAGTGCAGATGGAAGAAAGTAGCTGGCAGAGGTGACTGTGGAATCCAAGCACGGAACTGCCTTACAGCCACATCCTGTTGCCTCACTGTAAGGTGCCTGCGTGCTGAGAGCTGGGTTTGGTCCAGGCTGTTGTAGCTCTTGTCTGAGGTTACATGCCTAAAGTGCCAATATGAAGATATCTTCATTAGCAAGGGATGGAACAGGGCCTGATCTGTCCAGGGAAATCACTGGGAACAAGGAAATCTGAGCTCAGCTCAGTTTTGCTGCACTGGCAAGAAGCACGATGCTATCTATCACTAAATGGGTGATGCTGGAGATGTTAGTCAAAGACTGCTGTTGAGCCAGGCTCTTTCCAGCCAGAAGACCAGAGGATCAAGCAAAACTAATCTTTCTGTTCAGTCTTAGTAATGCTGAGGGTATATGCTGCTCCTCAGTAGTGCTAGTCAATAGCTAGAGTTATATGAAGTCTCTGTGGCTTTCCTGTGCTCTGACAGAGATCCTCCTCTTGTCCAGCCAAGGAACCAAATGACTACTACACAGTCCTCTGTGTGGATGCTACACCAGCACCTAGCCTGCTGTTGCTAGATGAGTGCCTAAGCTTCAGTCCCACCCTCTGCCAACTGCACAACTGGGTTTGGATGAAGGGAGGAAACAAGGGAAGGCTTTAAATGAACTCTGGGATCTGAGGAGGAGCAGCAGAGTTGCTTGTGTTGCTGGGGATTATCAGGATTACCTCCTAGCCCAAGCTGTGTGAAGGAGACCACTGTGGTTAGGTACAATTGTATGCACAGGACAGGAGGGCTGACAGGGTTATGGGAGCTCCTTGCACTCTTACATGGAGATAATCAGTTTAAATGAATGAGCTCAAAGGAATGGTAGCACAGTGGGAGCTGGAAGTGGCAGGAGCAAGACCCAGGACACCAACCTCTGCTGAATGACCAACATCAAATGTGCCAGGCTTTAGGGACACCCTCTGTGCCAGCCTACAGGCTGAAGCATCAGCTCTTCAGTGGGTCAGGTACAAAGCTGTGGCTCTAAGCCAGTGCAGCTGTAGCCCTGCACTCTCATACACACCCTCAATCTTAACTGCTCTGGGATCAGTGGGAGCAAGGCATGGCCAAAACCACACACATGGACCCTCAGCCTTGCACTTCACATTCCATAATGAAAGCATATGAGAGATTACCTGTTTCAGGCTGCCCATGCACTTAAACCAGCACACAGGATCTGAAGCCAAAACCTAGGCACTCCTGCTGCTGTCTCCTAGCACAGTCCCCGGCCTGATGGCCTCAGAGACAAGTATTTAAACAAGGCCAGCGAGGGCAGAAGTGGAGATGCTTGCTCTGCACACTACAGAATTACATCTGAGAGCCTCAAGGATGCTTAGACTGAAATAGGTGCCATCTGCCCCATGGCCCTCTGGAGAATGGTCACTAGTGGCTCCATCAGGCAGCCTGCACGAGGTTTATGGCATTCAAAAAGCTGCTTGATAGCTATGAGAAAGGAGCACATGGGCTTTCAGAGCTTAGGTAAACCCTGGTGAGGAGGAGAAGCTAAGCTTAACGTAGGCAGATAGCAGATGGTTGGCTGCTGGCCCACAGAGGGTGCTGCATAGGTCTCCAGCATTCCTGGGTGTGTTTGGCAGCCACCCTAAGTGTTGTTTTCCTTCCTAGTCTTTGCTGACCCTGTTTGCTGCAGGCATTCCGACTTATCTGGGCAAACTCTCCAACAGGAAAGTATCCCATGCCTCCGTGTGTGTAAAGAGGAAGGTATTTGCAACGAAGTATTTGAAATATGCTTCAAAGATTAACAAAGTTCAGGCAGCTCAGCCTGTAGGTTACGGGCAGGCACAGCAGGGCTTGGGTCCAGAAGCAGATATTGCCCAGCTCGGTTAACTTTTAAGCTGTGCAGTGAGTGAAGAGAACAGTGCTCCTGACTCAATGTGTTGTATGGCCCTAAAAAGAAGCTGGTGAGAGACAGGAGGTGAGATTCATGCCCCATATCTGACAGTGCTGTCATCGATCATCCCAAAACAGCTATTACGTATGGACTAGTGTGTTTAAGAGCCTGCTGGCTCTAGCTAGGATCAGAGAGAAGGGAAAGGACTGTAGCCTTTCCTCTCTCACAGCGATGTAAGCCAGAATCTGAAGGGGGCCTATAGGGATGCTGGGGATAGACTCTTCATTAGGGACTGTACTGATAGGACAAGGGGTAATTGGTTAAAACTGAAACAGGGGAAGTTTAGATTGGATCTAAGGAGGAAATTCTTTCCTGTGAGGGTGGTGAGGCACTGGAATGGGTTGCCCAGGGAGGTTGTGAATGCTCCATCCCTGGCAGTGTTCAAGGCCAGGTTGGACGAGGCCTTGGGTGCCATGGTTTAGTGTGAGGTGTCCCTGCCCATGGCAGGGGGGTGGAACTGGATGATCTTAAGGTCCTTTCCAACCCTAACTATTCTATGATTCTATGGTGATAAGCTCCACACTATTAACATGCAGTGCCCTGTTGCTGGGCCAGCTCCTCATCTGTCTCCACAGCCCTTCTCACGGCAGCAGAACAAGCGGGTGACACCAGCACGTTGCAGTCACTTACTTTTTCCTTGTTATCCATGGTGATGGCAATCTGCATCCTCCTGCCCCGCCGGAAAGCCACCAAATGGTCTGCCTCCTCCTCACTGGGCTCTGGCACTCTGCCGGCGCCCGGGAAGCACTCGGAGCGCTTCTCACTGACGATGCGCTTGCCCTGGGAAGGACGGGATGAGTTAAGGACAATCCCACCAGCCCCAACCATGCAGTGCCCTTCCCAGGGGAGAGGCCAGCCCCAGCCCCACAGAACAGGGACAGGAGCCAGAGTCAGTCTTGCTGGCTTATAAAGCTGCCGCCCCACTTTAAGGGATATGTCATTTTACACAGACAGACAGGTTTAGCTGAGGTGGGATTTATCCTGCTCAGGTGCTTTGCAGCATGAACGCTCATGGTTTTATTTTAGACAGGCCACCCATCTTATAGTTGTGTCCTTGAAACAAATGGGAAGTTGTCCTCTCACCGAACAACAGGTCCCAGTACAGTGTGAGGCTACATTGGAGCAGAAGCCTTGAGACTGGAAGAGAAAGGGAACGCTGGTGCTCTCTCCATCCTTGCCCACAAAGCAGTTACTACCCTGAAGTGTACTAACGCTTGCTAATTTATCACCTTCATAGCCATGGTTTATTCAGTGGAATCGTGCAGAAAAGTGATCTATAAACTCCTTGCACAAGGGCAGTTTCCCCCTTCCTGTATTATTTCCAGCTGTCTGTATCAGTTCAGGGCTTTCCTGCATGGATTTACATCTGGTTCTTATTGTGGGAATGATGTCTGGAGCTGGCTGAACTCCTGGCAGTGCCCGGAGCCATCACTCCCACAACATGAGCACATCTTTTGTACAAAAATACATACTTCTCCTCATGTCAAAGGATCATCTTTCAGTTCCATCATGTGCCTTTTTATTGTTGCCTTACAAGGAAATGAGCAACTTCATAAATCATCTCCATCTTTATCACTGATCTTTTTCTCGCTCTCCATCTGTATGACTCCTCTGCTCCACTCTACCAGGGAGGAACAAACCCCAGAAGCTTCCTCTCTAAAGGATGGTGTGTTTTCCTGGTTTATTCCTTAGACTTCCACACCTCTGGAGCCTCGATTTCAAAGGAGCTCAATATCCCCAGATAAACTCAGTGAAACTTGGGAACTCTTTGCTGCTACGAACTTGCTTTCAAAAGCAAACAGCACCCACTGACCTCTGGTTTGTGAGGAAGCCTTGCAAGCACCAGTGAATTGCCATCACAGATGACATCAAAGATGTCTTGCATTAGCTTCATCTTCACTTGGCTCTGCCAGAAGTGCAGATGTGAGTGAGGAGGGAGCCTTGCTGCAGACAGCCTCCGTCAGCAAGGGCTTGTTTATGGCTTGTCCAGTCATCGAGCTTCCTAACACGTGATAAATGGTTCAGGAGGTGCTGGAGCACTTCCAGCAGCAAACCTTCAGTCCCTTGTTTATTCTTCCCTCCCATCTCTGTCATTCTGCTGTCTCAGCAGAGCCAGCTCTCGAGTTGGTCTGGTGCATGCGAGGGGAGGATGCTCTCCTGTGCTGCTGATGGCTCTGCCTGCCCGCACTGGGTGGACATGGTGGGAACCCTTCACACATTCCCTGAGCACACACAGCTCTGGGGTTAGGTTTCAGCTGTAGCTCCTGACAAGTTCCGCTGCCCTGAGTGGGAGCCTTGCTATTTCTGCTTGGCTTGAAATAAGTGAAGCCACATGTGTTCAAAGCAAGGATGTGCTGCCAATCTGTTCCACCCATTCTAGTACCTTCTGTGTTGTTCTCTATCTTTGTATCAATGCAGTCTCATACTCTGCCTGCTGCTGAGGACCAGCATCTGTGTGGGCCATCCCTAGAGATGTCAAGATCTTTTTCCTGAGAGCAAAATCTGATAGTCAAGAGACTAGGCAACCATTGAAATATAGAATGGCTTGGTTGGAAAGACGTTATAGATGGTGGGCAGGGACCCCTTCCACTGGAGCAGCTTGCTCCAAGCCCCTGTGTCCAACCTGGCCTTGAACACTGCCAGGGATGGGGCAGCCACAGCTTCTCTGGGCACCCTGTGCCAGTGCCTCAGCACTCTTACAAGCAATAGTTTCTTCCTTGTATCTAACCTGAACTTTAAACTTCCCCTGTTCCAGTTTGAACCCATCTCCCCTTGTCCTGTCTCTGCAGTTCCTGATAAAGAGTCCCTCTCCAGCACCCTTGCAACTCCCTTCAGATACTGGAAGCTGCTCTGAGGTCTCCACACAGCTTCTCTTCTATGGAGTACAAGTGTCTTAGCACCTACCAGAGCCAGACATTTTGGTGCACTTTTACCTGCAGCCAGGATCTATGTCCTGGAAAAGTCCCCATACCTATAAGTTGTGTGAGCCGTTTTGAAGGTTTTAGCCTCAGTATCTGTTTAAAGAAGGATATGGTTTTATCAGAGTGGGCAAAACCAGAAAGTTCAAACCAGAACCTAAACTGCTCTGAAACCTGAGCTTTACTCCCCCTCCATGAACAGGGCATTCAATGCTGTCCTTAGTTACACATCCCATTGCAGCCACAGCATTACAAGTGGCTGTGTTACTGCAGCTTAGCAGTGACTGCCTGATTACTAATCTCAGAGCTGAAGATGTGATGGTCAAAGGCAGCTTTGGCAGCAGTGCCCAGGAGACAGTGGATTTCAGGAGCCTGAGAACAGGAATTCAGGCAAGCAGCAGCCCAGAGACCATGGCCTTCAGGAGAGCAGATGTTGAGCTGTGCAGGGAACTGGCAGGCAGGATCCTGCAGGAAGCTGAGTGGAAGGGAAAAGGAGCCCAGGAGACCTGACTGATTTCCATGGACAAGGCACGGGCACGTAAGGAAGGACCTCCTGCTGTACAAGAACATGAGTATGGAGGGAAGAGGCCAGCTCGGCTGAGCAGGCTGCTCCTGGTTTAACCTCAATGCAAAAAGGGAGGTGGGAAGGAACAGGCTCCCAAGCAAGACGATGGGAACAGGACCTGAGCGAGCAGGGATGGAGCTGGGAAAGCCAAAGCTCACCTGGAGTTGGAACAAGTGGGAGATGTGAAGGTCAGCAAGGACTTGTGTAGACAGCAGCAAAGCAAGCTGTTGGCCTGCTGCTGAATGGGATGGGCAACTCAGTGGGACCAGGGCATGGAAAAGACTGGTCTGTGGGCCTCCAAAGATGGCATTATGGTTTGCTCTGAACCTCCTAAGTCCCCAGCTTAGCGGCAGTCAGAGAACTGCTTCACTCAGCACACTGGAAGATCCAGTTATGGACCATTGAAATCAGGAAGATGGGACTAGCTGGGCTGCATCCCTGTGCATGGTGCAGAGGTGTGCAGGTAATGAGTTTAATATGCAGGGAAGAATTGAGTGATTTTGCCTGCTTTCTGCAGCTCTGGCTGTTATCTGAGTGGAGCCAGGCAGTGCAGGCCAGGATTAGGGACCAGTCAGCCCTGAAGCTCACAAGCACTTAGGTCTTGGCTTTTAAGTGGCACCTGCTTCTGAGTGACTGAATCACATCATGGCCAAAGGTGACATATTTCCACTGCCAGAACTGTTAGCAAACACAGGATGTTTTAAAACACAAGGAATGTTCTGTGATACATCTGTTTTATTCCTAAATTTCACTCAAATTGGAGACTGGGATTAGAATGGCCAGCACAGGATTCCCACTTGCAGTTGAGGAAACCAATGTGGTTTCTCTTTATGTCCGAGTTAATGGATGTGGGTGGAAGAAAAATTGACCTTTTGAGTAGACTCTCCTGGTCTTGCATTTCAGACCACAGATTTGAAGCTGCAAATCTCTCCTGCCATTCCCTCCGGGTTCATGGGACAATGTCTGTGGCCACAAGAGTATCCTCTGGTCTCATTCCTATTGGCAGTGATACTGAGATGATGTAGTAGCTCACAAATACAGTATTAACATAGTCACTTTAGAACGTTGCTGTGCATCAGCACTAACAGGATGCAGAGGTGCTCCTCCTATGGAAATGGATCCCTCTTATAGAGCACCCTGCAAGGTTACACTACTGAATTGTGTCTTGCACATGTATGAACACCTCCCATCACAAAGAAAAGGTAGTGAACACTGAAACCTTGCCAGCTGCTCTGGAAACCTGAGCCTTCCCATTTCAGCTGCCTCCCAGAGCTAGAAAGGATGAAGCAGTGTCTGTGCCTCCCAGTTCCCCTTTACAAGGAAAACTAAACTCTGTCTTGTGCTGAGGCGCTGGCACAGGGTGCCCAGAGAAGCTGTGGCTGCCCCATCCCTGGCAGTGCTCAAGGCCAGGTTGGACACAGGGGCTTGGAGCAAGCTGCTCCAGTGGAAGGAGTTGGGGTTGGAGCTGGAGGAGCTCTGAGGTCCCTTCAACCCAAACCAGGCTGGGATTCTATGATTATGCATGGAAGACATGGAAGAGAAGGGCTTGCCCGTTTTTTTGAGGCCCCCTACACATCCTGGGGCTGTGACCTAACCCCAAAACTACCAGTGCAGTCACAACAGGGACAAGTACAGTCTCCCTACTTTGGAACTGGTGTATGTAAGACTGCACCTCTCTGCTTTCTCTCCCACACCAGCCCCTCTTCTCCTAAAGCCCTGCTCCTCTCCCATGTCTTTTGGGAAGGGCTCTATAGAGCAGTCTGAGCAACTGAACAAAGCAACCTGGAAAGCAGTCATCCACAAAAGGATCTCTCTTTTCTGCCTCCCTCCAGCCCACTGAGGAACTCCACAGCCCATGGAAGGTGCTGCTGTTGCCCCAGCATGCAAACAGTCCCCAGGGATGGTGCTCTCCCACCATCAGAGCAAAGCTTTGGGGCATCACAGGAATGACTCAAGTCCTGCACAGGGCCCAGTCCTGTGTGACTGGGATATGCCTGAGGAAGAACTGAGACCCACTGACACCCTCTGAAGGCAGCTGGACATGTTACACCTTGCAGAGTAGGCTCTTAACTGCGTGCTGTCCTATCTCCCTGCTCTGTTTCATAGAATCATAGAATAGTTCGGGTTGGAAAGGACCTTAAGATCATCCAGTTCCAACCCCCCTGCCATGGGCAGGGACACCTCACACTAAACCATGGCACCCAAGGCTCTGTCCAACCTGGCCTTGAACACTGCCAGGGATGGAGCATTCACAACCTCCCTGGGCAACCCATTCCACCCTCACAGGAAAGAATTTCCTCCTTAGATCCAATCTAAACTTCCCCTGTTTCAGTTTGAACCCATTACCCCTTGTCCTGTCACTGCAGTCCCTAATGAAGAGTCCATCCCCAGCATCCCTATAGGCCCCCTTCAGACACTGGAAGCTGCTCTGAGGTCTCCACGCAGCTTCTCTTCTCCAGGCTGAACAGCCCCAACTTTCTCAGCCTATCTCCATACAGGAGCTGCTCCAGCCCCTGAGCATCCTCGTGGCCTCCTCTGGACTTGTTCCAACAGTTCCATGTCCTTTTTATGTTGAGGACACCAGAACTGCACACAATGCTCCAGGGGAGGTCTCACGAGAGCAGAGCAGAGGGGCAGGATCAGCTCCTTGGACCTGCTGGTCACGCTCCTTTGGATGCAGCCCAGGATAGGGTTGGTTTCTGGGCTCAAGCGCACACTGAAGCCGGCTCATGTTCATTTTCTCATGGACCAGCACCCCCAAGTCCTTCTCCTTGGGCTGCTCTGAATCTCTTCTCTGCCCAGCCTGTAGCAGTGCCTGGGATTGCTCTGACCCAGGTGTAGGACCTTGCACTTGGCATGGTTGAACTCCTTGAGGTTGGCACCAGCCCACCTCACAGCGTGTCAAGGTCCCTCTGGATGGCATTCCTTCCCTCCAGCGGATCCACCGAACCTGTTTGCAGCATGATTCAGAGGCTGGTTCCAGCCTTGGAAGCGCTGCATTGCCTGAGCCTGATTGATAGATACTTTGGTGCTGAAGTTATTATTCCCAGGAAATGTCTTTGCTCCAGGGATAATCCTGAGCTTCCTCAAGCATTCAAGGCAATACATCCTCCCTCCTTTAAGCCCTGAGCAGGCACGTACAGGAAGCCTAGGTTAGGTAATGAACTGGAGAACTGGGCTTGCTCTGTCCTAAACAGAGTACTCAATGTAGGTAATACAATACAGTTGTTTAATTGAGAAAATAAGCCCAGTGATATCTTAGCAAGGGAATAGCAAGCTCCTAATCCATAGCTTTCACATCAAACATCAATTCTATCTGTTCCTTAGAGCTCTGCAGTGTTCAGGTGGTGATGGCCTCTCCTTTCCCCAATAACATGGTCACAAACGTCCCTTGCCAGGGTGGGTGTTTGAAGACAGCTTCATCCCTTACAACCTGACACAGTCCTTCCTGAGGAGGGACGTGGGTCCTGAGTGCAACAGCAAAGCCTCTACCTGAGAACCAATGTACCCAAACACACAGGACCCTGTGCCCAAACGCCATGAGCAGGAGGGAAGCCTCCAAGTAAAACACTGGATTTATGGGGCAGTGGCACCTTCCTTGGCCGTTAGATGTGAAAAGTCACATTGGGAAGGTTGGCAGTTGGCAATCCCATTAAACCCTGCAGTTTACTGAAGAGATGACAGGGAAGGCTCAGAGGATGATACAGGAAATCAGAGCTGTGATAGAGGGACCTATAGAGGCTGGGGGACCACCAGCTTTTCTATGTCATACCCTCTCCCCTTGCTCCCACAGTACTAAGACTGAGGCACCCGAAGGCACAGTCTGCACAGTGTGCCAACATGTGTCTTTCTTCCCTTGTTTCTTATTTTAACAGTACCAGTGATCTCCAGACTGCCTGTCCCACATTGGGAATTCCTGGTCCCTGGTTCCCAGCTCCCAAAGCAAGGGATGTCACATGAGGAAAGCTCCCATGCAGAGCCAACGGGAGCAGAGAGCAGGGCCCAAACAGCCACAGGGCCTGGCAGAGCCACCCTGTCCCCTCCCCAGGGCCTGTCCCAGCTCACTCACTGCCTGCAGGAGGACTCAGACTGGCACAAGCTCTGCAGCTACAGGCAAACAAAGCTACACTGCTGCCTTGTAGCAGCCCTGGGGAACTACATTGAGAAGTGCTCATCTTATGTTGGAGGCACGCTCCAGACTGCAAAGGTAGTGTCAGAAATACCCATCCGAGGAACAAAGGAAAGCTTCTGTCCAGTTCATGCAGTTTTCCACCTGCATTTCCTTTGGGGCATCTCATTTGCAAAGATTTGTGATGTTTAGGATTGAATGTAAACGGTTTTCAGCCCAGCCCAGCAATTCTTGCCATGGTCATAGGAAGGATGGCGATGGTCCATTCAGTCACCCCAGAATCACCAAGCAAGTGCCTCCGAGGACAAGTGGTGAAGCTCACTGGGATGCTGGAGCAAGCAACCTACCCCCTGGTGCCTTAACAGGGCAGCAGCAACAAATAAGCTTGTGCTTCACATGATACCAGATACAATGTTGTCCAAAATCCTACTCGTTTTTCCCTCTCACCCGTTACAGCCCCATGCTCCTCCTACTCATTCATGTTGAGAACTGTATTTAAAGGTTCTGGATTGATGCCAATGGAACATTCACCAATAAATCCGTCTTCCTCTGTCATCAAGTGAGGCCGCTGGGCTGTGCTTTACACCAACACCCCCAGAGACCCTGGGGGGCTCTAAGGCCTGTGAAAGGCTCTTAATGCAAAGGAAGTCACATATCCCATATAACAGGGAACTCATGGGGAGTTTCCACAGAGGTCTGTGTTAGCAGCATTAAAATCTCAGAGTTCTATGGAGTGGCCACGCTGACAAACACTGGCACAGAGGTTAAGGCAGCGCAGTGCTGTGTGCTACCACAGATCCCCATCTAGGGCTTGAATTCTGAGCTAAAGGAAGCAGCTGCAGGGGACAGGGCCTGTCTGCAAGAGGCACTCACTCTGCACATGTCATTGCTTCAGAGAGAAGCCCACACAGAGCTACAAAGCCAGGAGAGACCTTGGAGTATTTCACTGGCAGAGTTCAGTCCGTGATGAGGATGGGAAGGTTTCTGTGTACCCTCTGCTCTAGGAAAAGCAGAACGTTTCCCCTAGCATCAGGAGGTGGTTTGGCTGTGCTGGAATGAGATGGCATTAGAAGGGGATGTTCTTGCTACTGGTAATCTCTCTGGAACAAAGGAAATGAGAGGCTTCAGTCCCTTTCTCCTCAAACACCATTCTGAAAGGTGCATTATTTCCTGGATGATTCAGTTCCTCCGAGGTAACACATAATGACTTCAGAATGGCACAATCATTGCGGCCTAGTTGTTCATGGAAAGAAAAGGTAACTATGTCCTAGAGAGACAGCAGTGAAAAGGCACTGGAGGCCCAGCAACAGAGACATGTTTGCAAGCTGCTTCAGAGGGAGAGATTGTTCCCTGCCTCCTGTTTACAGCCAAGGCTCCAGCGCTCCTGCCCCAGGCAGCAGGAAGGGTGGGGTTTGCTTTGGGACCCTGGGGAATGTCTTTGGCTTGGCCTTCAGTTCAAACCCAGCCTCACTTTGTGCACAGAGCACGGTGCTGGGCCTCAAAGGGGACCCACGGGAGCACCATTTGCTGCCACCGCTTCCTTTTCCCAGTGCTACTGTGACAGGGGCTGGTCTCATCCACTCCAACATCCCAGCAAGGCTTCCCTGAGTCCCATACACCTGCACCTGCAGATACCACGCTTCCCAAAGAAGGTGGCACTTCTGATCCTTGTTCCTATTTATCCCTGTGGTTAAACTCACTGTGTGCAGGGAGAACAGGATCAGGGCCCTGAGATACACCCCAAGTGAAGAAAACCAGAGTGTGAAGCTCCTCCAGGCCCATCCTTCCTGGGATGTGCTGCCAATACCAACTGCCAAAGGTTCATCAAACCCCTCCTGGCAAGTAAGTCCTGACATGCCAAAGCTGCCATTGGATCATTAATCCTACATGCACAGATTCCACAGGGAACAGGGCAGTGCCCAGGATGTTCTGGGATTTAAGAAATGAAGCAGCATTTTCTCTTCCCTTTGCCTTTTTACATAGTTATTAATGAAGTCTGCAAGGATTGGGTTGCATTTTCTGCCCATCACACACTGGAGCTGCCACAGATACTCCTGTCACTGGTTTTTCTCCTGCATTTAGGACTGTCTGGAACTCATTAACAGGGAGAAATGATGCTGGTTTTACCACTGCTTCCCTGGGAATAGTAATGCAGCTCAATCTGTCTGAGCTTCCATCCCCTTTGCAGGCACAGCAACCCACTGGCGGTGCAGGAGGGCAACGAGTGGCTAATCTCTCTGAAAGGGAACTGGCCACACATGGCTGGATGGAGCCACTGGGGAGGGCCAGCAAGGCCTGGAGGCTGACTCCTCAATCAGATATAGGGAGGGAAGTGTGTGGCAACTTGAGATGAAGACTGAGGCTGTGCTGAAGGACTGAGAAATGAGAGAAAGGGTTTATCCCCTTTGGAGATGTGGCACCAGGGGCCATGCTGAGCAGCAAGCTCGAGTGAGAGGCAGAACAATGGTGCTTTGTAAGTCAAGGGGCTGCAGTGTAAGAGGGATCCTGTTCCCTACTCACCTTGGCTTTGTTGTCCATGGTGACAGCCAGCTGCATCCTCTTCCCCATCCTGAAGGTGAACATATGATCTGCTTCCTCCTCCTCCTCGTCTTCCTCACTGCCGATGCCGAACACAGGGCTCGTAGTGCAGGGGCTCACCCATTTCTCACTCACCACCCTTTTATCCTGGAAAGCAGAATCATTTCCATTAGGAAATCCAGACCCTTGGCTCAGTGATGGGATTCCCTTCCCCAGACACACCTGCACACGCATGGGGAGCCCAGCTACAGCCAAGGCAGCCTTGCCCCAAGGAGGCTTCCCGCGCCTGGCGCGGTGCCGTGACATTCCTTAGGGAACAAGGGGCTCCTTATCTGCTAAGCACCAAATCCCACAGTTACAGTGGGTCTGCAAAATCCTTTGCACTTACAAATCTGACATTTCAGGCTAAAATGCCAGAGTCATAGGAAACAAATGTCATCCTCATCTCTTTCTGCAGCTGAGTTAGATCGGGAATGCCTAAGTCCTGATGGAGACGGCCTTGGAAGCCAAGGGGATAGCTCCTGAGGGTGCTGCTCACCATCGAGAGGGCTGGGCTATCTTGTCCATAGTGTTCAGTCTGGGTAATTGCATCTTTCAGGTCCTGTATGAGAGAAAAATGTGTGCAACAGTGCACCTCTGGAGAGAGGCAGGGGCTGGGCACGGCTGAGACACGAGCACTGTGCTCGCCTGGATCCAGGAACCAGGAATGCTGATGGAAGGAGGGTGGGCTGCCCCAGTGAGCTCCACTCCAGCTCCAGCAAAGGAGGTTAGAGCAGGAGTGTTGGGTGGTTTACTGGTTCACCAAGCCCCACACTGCCAGGACAGGGCTGGTCAGACACAGGTTTGGTCCAGCTGGGAAGGAAGCCTGTGACCCACAGCCTCTGCCCCAAAGCAACCAAGGGCTGCTTGCTTTGCTCACCCACAAAGCCTAAGGAGTCCATGACCCTGCCCAGCCTACAAGCATTCCTAGAGGCATTCCTGACGCCTCCAGTGACACACATACACCTCATATGCTCTGCCTATGTATCTGCAGTGATGCTGACACCAGGGACACAGCCAGGGCCTGTGCACACACTGATTCATTCACCTGTGAATTCCATGTGCTTGGCTGCAGGTGCCTGGGCATGACTGGAAGCTTGCGTGCATCAGCTAAAACCACCCTGAGCACACCTCTGCAGAGGATTCCCACCCTTCTGCAAGGGTCTAGGACAGAGCTTTGGGGTGGCTCCTTCAGAAACGCTGCTGGAGTGAGAGCTGGCCCATGGTGACAGAGGCAGCACTTACATTGTGAGCTTTGGTGATGGTAATAGTGAGTCCATCCTGCTTGGGTCTCCTGGAGGTAACAGCCATTCCCTCCTGCTCAGCTCGCTTTTTGTCCTCTTCTATTTCCTGAAACACACATATACCCTTATCATCAGCCTGTACTGGCATGTCTACAGGTGGTGTCCCTTCTCCTGCTCATTACTCCTAAATGGTTCCACACCTCCACCTCTAAAAGGGAGTGGATCAACCTGTGTCCCATTTATGTGCCCTTGGAAGGGGCCACAGGTAGCTATGACCTGCTTTACCTGTCTCTGTGCCACAGGTAAACCTCCTGTTGGCTCAGAGCATTCACTGTGGTCTCAGCACAGGGCACAGGGGTCCCTTCCTGACACACAGAGATGATCAGTGTGGTATTCAGGACACACTGGGAACAGGATCTGTGGAAGACTCACCAGGCCTGCAGAAAGGGAGGGTGTGCACAGAAGCCATGGTCCCTAGGCCAGTGTGGGGCCAGAGCATCATCTGTGGCCATGGGAAGGTGGCTGAGATCTGGCCATCTATACAGCAGCCTCTTCTAGAAGCCAAGTGCTAGTGGCAGTATTTCATACAGGAGTGGGAGTTCCTCTCCCCCAGCTGCTTGTGACGTTCAACCAGAGCTTTCCACTGTGCACCAGGTTTTGCTGCCACCAAGGAAGGTCCAAAATGGCTCCTATGGTATCAAGGGAAACGCCTCCAAAGCAAGACCCAGCCCCAGCCCCACTCAGTCTCAGGCACGGCTCCAACACACAAAGTGTGCTCAGGGGTTCTGGGTTCTTTGCCAGACTCCAGGCTGCCCACCCAGCCAGCAAGGGCTGAAGAGCCCCTCATGCCAAGTGGCCTTGGGCAAGGCAGGAGAACATCCTAGACAAGCCAAGGGGAATCCTTCCACCAGGAGCATCCTCAGGCTGCCCTATTCTGTACTGACATTAAACAAGTCCAGAGAGAGCTCTGGGTTAGCACTGTGGCACCCAAACCAGCTCATAAAAGCCAGGCTGGGTATCCCCTGCATGCCTTGGCCAAGAGCTAGGGTTAGGGATCAGGCAGGATCAGAAACCAAGGGGTGTAGGTGGAGTACTTCCTCCTAATCCAGGGTAAAGGTGCAGTAACCAGCAGGCTGCTAAAGCCTTGATATGCCTTCACAGAATCATAGAATAGTTAGGGTTGGAAAGGACCTTAAGATCATCCAGTTCCAACCCCCTGCCATGGGCAGGGACACCTTGCTCTAAACCATGGCACCCAAGGCTCTGTCCAACCTGGCCTTGAACACTGCCAGGGATGGAGCATTCACAACCTCCCTGGGCAACCTATTCCAGTGCCTCAGCACCCTCACAGGAAAGAATTTCCTCCTTAGATCCAATCTAAACTTCCCCTGTTTCAGTTTGAACCCATTACCCCTTGTCCTGTCACTGCAGTCCCTAATGAAGAGTCCATCCCCAGCATCCCTATAGGCCCCCTTCAGACACTGGAAGCTGCTCTGAGGTCTCCACGCAGCCTTCTTGGAGACCTGTGCTCCACAGAAATGGCCAGGGAAGAGCTTCAGTGCATACTACTGCCCTGGCAGGGAAGATAAACCCATCAAATGTATTGGGGATGCAATCTCCTATGCATCCAAGAGGATAAACATGAGACATTGGAAAGGATAGATGTGGAAAAGTGAGGGGACCAGGAGATGGATGGCTGGGAAGTGTGGTGCAGGCAGAGGAAGACGGGAGGGTGAGAGGAGGTGCTGTAGCAGCAAGGTACACATTGGTGGCCCTGCTTTCCAATGCAATTCCAGAGCCGTGGCTCACGGAGCTCTGCCCACCTGCTCCAGATGCCTTCCCATGTAAACATGTCATCTATTGAGCAGTCACCACAACAGGGCTCACCATTTCCTCCACTGTGGGCTGGGGACTCCAAAACGGAGCTGGGGAAGGGCAGAGCCTGCAGACTCACCTGGTACCTTCGTATGAGCGCTTCGTTCTTCTTCCGCAGGGCCAAGATCTTCTTGTCGAGCTCCACATCTTTCTGCTCCTTCTTCCTGAGCACTGCATCCTCCACAGCTGCATCCTGCAACAGGAGCAGGAGAGCTCTCAGTCATCACAGCAACAGCGTGAAACCTGCTCCTTCTCTTTGTACAGGGGGGGCAGTGAAAGACTTTCCCCATCATTTCTCCCCTTGGTCCTCCATTAGAAAGAATATGGATGCTGCAAATAGACCTTTTCCTGACAGAATTGACCTTTCCTTTTGTTCAGCACTGAGACACTTAGGGCAAGAAGCTGATGTCCCTCTGATGGCTGGCAGTAGGCTCCAGAGTTAACACACTGCTTGGCTGCACGCAGTAACACCACCTCTGCCTGCTGCTGGTTCAGGTGCTCTCAGGCACATCAGTATCACATTTACACTCAGCCAGCACCTTGGTGACCACAGGGAAGAACAAACTGGAGCTTTTCAGTTCCAGTGACAGCAGTGTCTGGTGCTGATGAGGACGGACTCACTGCAGCAGCTGATCCACAGCATCCAGACTCTGCCTGGTGCTTCATGAGGAGCAAGAGGCAAGGCTGAGCTCTCCAAGGCACTACAGGTTTATTTTTAAACAGTGGGTTTGTGCTGGCCTTATCAGCATGGCATCTCCTTGAGGCAGAGAGCTCATGTTCCCTCTCCTTCGCTCACACAGAGCTGTGTAAAATGAAGTGAGACTGAGGAGGAGAGGAAAGGAACCCCAAATCTGAGCAGGATGCTTCGCTAGCATCTCAACTGGGACCACCAGCACGTTACCTCCATCTGCTGCCTTCACCACTGGGTGCTGAGCAGTGCATCTGCAGGGGCACTGCAGCAAATCCAGCTGCTGTGCACAATGCATATTGCCCACAGAGCCAGGGAAGTCTGGAGGAATCAAGATGCAAATGGAATGAAAGCATCACCCACCTGCCTACGACTGGATGCTGCTCCTGCAGGTCGTCTCCCTATGAAGTGGAACAGCCAGCGTGTGGTGGAGAGGCATACTGATGGTCCCAAGAGGTGGTGAAGATGTTCGTGTGCCCTAACATCCTCTGGGGTCAGCATTGCCTCCCCTGTGGCACTGCACATCCCAGCCCCATGGAGCTCTCAAGGTGCCTGGGGCTGGTATCAGACCCTGCTCCAGGACACCTCACCCCAGCCACAACACATGGGCATGGAGAGTGACCTGCCCAGGGGCAAGCTGTGCTGGCGATGCATTGGCAAGGCATGTTTTATGTCTATCCCTGTTGGCTTCCCATCAAATTCCTCATAAACCCACCAAGACCCTCAGGAGAATTGTTGGTTTCCCTGTTTCCACAGGAGCAAATCCCCACCACAGCCCTGTGAGTGAGCACTTCTGCTCCTGCTGTGCCCATCCCGAGGGCTAAAACCCTGCAGCATCCTCCATCCATCTATTGAATCCAATGCATTCAATGCTGGGAATAGCTTCTGCACAGGCAGGAGGGGTTTTTCCTTCATTAATCATGACATAGCATCTGTGACCTCCTTAGGGATGGATCTGTCAGGAGCCAGCAGTGGCACTTGGGGATGTGGGATCTGGTCTGACACTGCCATGCACTGGGTAAGGTAAGCCAGGAGCCAGGGGCCAGCCTCAGGCAGTAGTTAAGGGACTCACAAAGCCCTTCCCCTGGGGAGGGAGGGTTTCTCCTGGAGACCTCAGTTACCTTTTGCTCAGCCCTAATTGTGTCACCAGAGGGAAAAGTGGACAGCAGAGGTCCAGAGGATGGGATGGAGGGGCAGTGTCAAACCCAGCCCTTCTCAACCACGTCAAACATGCAGTGAGAAGCCCAAGGCTTGAAGGCAAAGAGTGAATGAAACCACAGAGGCTGTAGCCCAGGGGGAGGGAAAAGCTTTGACAGTGCTCTATGTTCCCAGCTACCTTTGTGAGCTCTATCCACTCATGTACAGGGGTTCCAGCCCCTCAAGATGTGTGTGTTCACTGGGCCAATGCATCAAGCAAGGTAGAATTAAGGGGTTGGGAACCTTCAATTACTTGTGTGTCAGGTAGCATTTTGCCAGGATGGGAACATCCTGCTCAAGATTTTAGATGAGCTGCAGGAATCACCTCCTTAACATGGGGAGGTGCTGAGCTACCTGGGAGATGGATGCCAAGGAAGAATGTGGCTCTGTCTGATCAGCTGCACTTCAGAAACTAATTCCAAATAGTGTGTGGGAATTCATTGGGGTTGGCATCCCTGCTCTTCCCAAAGCATCACAGGCTCCTGGGAATGAGGGCTGCAAACTGTCCCCTTGTGTGAATGGGATAGAGCCCTTCAAAGGAAGGGAACCAGCTGCTGGATGACAGCACATCCCTGCAATGCTGGGTCTGCCTTTTATAGCATCCCAGACTGGTTTGGGTTGAAGGGACCTGAAAGCTCCTCCAGCTCCAACCCCTGCCACGGGCAGGGACCCCTTCCACTGGAGCAGCTTGCTCCAAGCCCCTGTGTCCAACCTGGCCTTGAGCACTGCCAGGGATGGGGCAGGCTCATTTCCAGGGCTTTCCATTAAAAAAACCTCAAAGCTAAACAACATCAGCTGTGATCTGAGCTTCATCTGCACAAAATAAGGCCACGGATGGGGAGAAGCCTGCCTAGGTCATGTTCTTTGGAGGAAAGGGCCTGAAGGTTGCAGATGTGACACCAGCAGAGAGGATGTCGGAAGTCAGAGAGGGGAAAGGCAGAGGCACCAGTCTGCTGAAACAGCGTTCATATCTACACAAGCTCATCTTGCCTCGTGTCCCCAACAAGGGGTATTTAATCATAAAGAGAGCTGCCCTGCACGACACAGGCACTTGTGCTCCGGTGGGACATCAAAACCAGCACACATTCTCCTGCTGGACAATGGGATTTTGTCAAGGGCTGTGGGAGCAGGAAATGCACCCTTCCATTGCCATCGACCCCTGGGGTACAGGACAAGTGAGCGGGGTGTGCATGGGGCTGGGTACACTTCCACGGCCTCTTTGCAAGGCTGAGTAAAGCCGAGTTCAGTGTTTACCTGAACAGAAGCTATTCTGTGAGCACTAAATTGGCAGGTTTGCTGTTTGCTCAGTGCTGGGGTGTTGCCTGCTTGAGGGTGGGATCAAAGTGGTGCACGGCCTCAAACACACCCCTTTCATCTCCAGATTCCTTTGAAGGCACACCGACAGCGCTGCGGGCTCGGAGGGATTTCACAGTTCCTGCAGAGATTGTATTTGTGCTCTGCTCTTTCCGAAGGGAAGCGATGGCACAGACCTGTCAGGCTGCTCCCAACACACAGGGCTGCACTTTGTCAGCGTTTTGTCTATGCTGCAGCACAGCTCGTGCAGGGGGAGGGGGGGTCTTTCCATTCCCAGCTGGGAAGTTTTGCTGCTATTGAGCGCTCCTCCTGCCCTTTCCTAATGAAGACATTGAGGGATTCTCTGTGCATGAGCTGTTTCAGCAAACACTGGGAGCTGCGGGCAGGGATGGTCCCTTCCCATGCACCCCGAGCTAGAAGCAGCCGCTCTGCCTGCAGCAGCCCCATGTCCCAGGGGATCACCCATTGTATGCTTCAGCCAAGTCAGCGTTTGCTCACCCGCTGCCACCGCTCGGGGCCAGCTGATAACAGGGGACGTGCCCTGCTCTCTGCTTCTGGAACCAACCCGCTACCCCTGCCCAGGCTGAAGCTGATGCTCGGGGGGGTAAAGTGGCCACACTGTGCCCTCCCCAGAGCAAAGCTCTTCCGGGGAGCCAAGGTGCCCGTATGCCCCAGCCACAGGAGGGTTATAAATGGCTTTGGCAGCACAAGCGTTCGCTGGCTCTGAGAGCAGCCGAGCCCGCACAGAACGAGGCCTCCTTCTACTGCACCTCCAACTGTCACAAAAGGAGGAACGGAGAGAGAGGGCCTCGCGCTTCGATGGGCTGACGCCATCTCGTCCTGTCATGCCCCTCTCACGGGCGGTGCATACACACACAGCCGGGGCGCAGGAGGCCGCCCCGCTCTGGTTTCCCACGCTCTTCTCCCATCTCCTGCCTTCTTGGAGGCAGCAGGGGTGGGAAACCGAGGAAGGCAGCAGCAGGAGGCAGCGGAGAGGAGAGCGGAGCGGGGCCGGGCGCTAATGCTCCTCTGCGTAAGCAAACGCATCCGCTCTCTTTAAGGGACATCCTCCGGCTTGACAGCTGCTGCTGCGGGCTCTGCCAGGACTGGCACCGTCCCGCTCCGCCGCCGCTCGCCTCTGACACCGCTCCCGGCCTCCCCCCGTGTCCTGCGGCCCCCGCCATGGGCACACCGAGCTCAGCACCGCAAACCCCCCCACCCCCCACCCCCAGCACCCGGAGCCGGCCGGGAGCCAGCGAGGAGGGGACCAACAAAGGCGCAGGCAGGGGCACCCCCTCCCCCCCGAGGGCAGGCTCGGTGCGGCGGGGGCCCCCCGCACCCCTCCCAGGCCCCCAGCGGCAGCACTCACGGCTCGGTGCATGGTGGCCATCGGCGGCGGATTCCAGCGCAGAGCTAGAAGGGGAGAGCCATCAGCCGGCCTTTCTCCGCACTGGTTGCACAGCACACAGGATCATGTTTTGATTACAAAAGCCTGTCTGGGCTGGCAGCCAGGAGCACTGGCTGCCTAATATACCCAGCACAGACTGGGGCTGAGTGCGTGTCCTCCGCTCCAAGCTCGCTCTCTTTTTAAAAGAAACACTCCCCCTTTCCCCCCCCTCTTGGCTCCTTTTAACTTCCTGATGCCACAAGCCCCGGTTCAAAGTGGGAAAAGCTGGGCGGACAATGGGAAAGGGAGCAGGCAAACAGCTTGACTTCACCCGGTGGCCATTCACGGGCTCGGGGTATTTGTTATGCATGGCCGGTTGCACGCCTGGCGGGGGACAGGGATAATATCTGGGGTCCTGAATGGCTCCTGGGTGTGAGGATGTGCGTGGGGAAACACGAGCCGGGTTTGCCTTTTTCTGCTTCATTGCAGTATCCATTGGGAATGACTGCCCTGCTTTCCAAACCGTGCCTTTCCTGCAGGAGGGAGCAGAAGCAGGGCTCTGGGTGGGCATTGCCAGCCCGCACCGTGAAGCTTGTGGTCGAAGGAGTCCAGTGGTGAGTCCCCATCTGGAAGGTGCCAGGATGACCTCCAGCAAAGTAACAACGTGGGGCTTTGGGAGAGCAGGCAACGTTCATTTAATACACAGAATATAGAATATTAGATACATGATACTGTGGCTGCCCCATCCCTGGCAGTGCTCAAGGCCAGGCTGGACACAGGGGCTTGGAGCAAGCTGCTCCAGTGGAAGGGGTCCCTGCCCGTGGCGGGGGTTGGAACTGGGTGAGCATTAAGGTCCCTTCCAATGGAAACCACTCTGGGATTCTAGGATTCATCTGCTGCCTCTTGGGTTGCCACACTCAAACCTGCATCTGAGCACCATGTCCTGGCTGTGCCCTGTGTCCCCCCTCAATGCAGTCTGGCTGCCCCTTTCTTCAGCTTCCAATGGACCCAAGCAACACACAACCAGGAGGTGGAAGCACACAGGGGAATATTGTTGCCCAAGGAGTGATGCACACCCAGCCTTAGTGAGGGCTCTGCTGTGTTTGTTATGGGAAAACCAAAGGAGCAGGCCCACTGGTGGTACCTGTCCCCTCTAAGAGCTTTGAGCAGGACAGCTACTCACAAAATCCATGATGTTCAACCTGAAACCCAGCACGGTTCAAAGGAAGCCTTCAAAAGCCTTTGAAGAGCTCTGGATCTGATCCCTCTCCTGTGCATAGCTCTGGCTATGGGACCTCAGGGCTAAGGCACTAAAGGAGCTGGAAGGGTGGCTTGGTAAAGGAGCTTAGAGGAAAAGACTGACCCGTATGAATTAGCAGCTACTCAAGTGATGAAAGGAAATGGAACCCATCCCCCAGGCATTGCCTATGGGTTCAGGCTTGAGGAAGGACATGGAAGACCCTGCTGTGGATGGAAAACCAGGAAAAAGACACAAGAGCTTTGCTGGACCCCAAGTGCTTGTCAAGAGGTTTGTGATGGAGAAGCCTGTGCAGGAGGTGCAGAGCCATGAGGGGCTTTCCCTCACCGTGGGAGCACAGGAGGATGGTGTTGCTTTGGGGTTTCCAAGCTGGCATAGTCCCTAGCGAGGGTGGAGTGATGGCCCAGTTTTGGCTGTCTGGTGGCTGCAGGGAGAAGGTCAGCTCTGGGAGCTGCTGCTGGGCTGAGTCAGGGACTCAGTGTCCAGAGAAGGACATTTCCAGTGATGAGGCATTATCCTGATGGCCTCATCCTGGGGATTGCATCCCTGCACACGCTGCTAACACCCAGTCCAGTTAAAACAGACACCCACACAATCAACCCAAACCAAGGTCAGGTTCCTCGTGCAGTGCAGGGTAAACCCCATGTGCAGGGGAGTCTATTGGGCTCCCCATGGATCAGTACCTAAGGGACCACGTCATGCCCAAGATGTCAAGTGCTAAATGCTGCAAGGAGTTCCTACAGACCTCACAGCCATAGCATCCAAGGTCCCTGCTGTTACCAGTGGTGGGGACAACAGCAGTGCTATGAGCAGGTACAAAGAGCCCCAAAATACCTTTGCCTTTGCTAAGTAGAGCTGCAGTTCCCTCCAGGGCAGTGTCAGCTGTGCCACTGCCCTCAACACAAAGAGCTGACATTTCTCAGCTCTCTTTTTCCATGTCTGAGTGGTGTAAATGACAAACATCTACTTCTGCATCATCATCTGAGGTGAAGGAGGAGATGAATGCTCAGTGAGCACTGAGGACATGGAAACCCAGGGGCAAAAGGGCCCAATCAAGGGAACAGCATCTGCAGCTTCAGCACTGGGGCAAAACAGGCTGGTTTGGGGACCTGGTTGTGCTCTTGGGACTCTCCCAGGATGCAGAAAGCAGAACCTGCTGAGATTTATGGGGTTATATACATGCACATATATTTGCTTATTGCTGGTGTCCTGACCAGAAAGGGTTGCAATAACACCATGGCTGTCCTCAAATTGAGGGTTTGCTCTAAACTCAGTGCCAGTCCCAAGATGAGCACTGCCTTCCCATGGGATCTGTGCCTAACTCAGAGTAAGGACAATCCTCCAGAACCATCACCCTGGCACCAGGGAGCACCAAGACCCACATGTGTGCACTTGGGAAGGAGAGGACCATCTCCTCCAAGGATGGGTCCTGGTCTCCTGCTCCAGTGAGAAGGGTGTGCTGGATGGATGACGTGTCAGGGGTCCTGCAGGACCTCAGGACACACTGAGTACCTCACTTGGTGGCTGAAGCACATCAGTAGTGCTCTCTTGGGCAGTTGGTGGCAGCTCTCTCCCAGCATGCAGCATCTTGAGAGAGTCCTTCAGACACTGTCTATTACAAATGCAACAGGAAGGCCATTAGGAGAAAGCAGCTGAATTACTCACTAAGGAATTCGTCCACCACGTCTGGAGTTAATCCCTTTACTCTTCTAAAATCACTAAGTCTTTAATAGGCTGATGGCCTGATTCTGGGCTCTTTACTTGCTTCGGCTGCTGTGCACTGGCTGGTACCCTCCCTGACGCCTGCTCAGCACGGAAGCCACAGGGTGCACCCATGTGTGTGCCCCAGGTTGGCTCTGTGGTTTCCTCTGCATGGAAGGGGATGTGTGAGCTCTTGCTAAGTGTTGGCAGCCCTGAGGAGCAGTCCTGGGGCAGACAGCAGTTTGCCTGCAGGAAAGCCTGGAAGCTGGAGCAATCCAGAGGACTTAAGGGGGTTTTGCTGCTCTACGGGGGCTCAGCTGAGCTCCCTGAGCACAACATCCTGCTGCTTGCAGGCCCTGCTCTCCACTCAGGGCAAGGTTTGGTGGAGATTTCCTGAGGCAGAGGCAGGAAATGAGGGCAATGACCTGTCCATTCTGTGCCCGTGACAGTGACACAGCCCCTTTCTCTAGCTGGGAGCGGCAATGCCTCTCCCTTTCGGTTTCAGCACAAAGAACCACCTCTGACAAGAGTCTGCGCCCTCCCTGCTGCAGGGCGGCACCAGCAGCCTGCAGCATCACCCCTTGTTTTGACAGCAAGACTTTGCTCCTTACAAAGAAAGAATCTGAGTCCTCAACAAACTCAAACCTGACTGCCCCAAGCAGCATTCCTGGCACCCCTCCATCAGCCCTTCCACCAGCAAGAACCGCTGTGGCTTTCCAAAGGGAAGGGAAACCGTTCTTCCTTTCCCTTTGCACTCTACGAGACCCCTCCACAGCCCCAGTTCCACGCTGCCACTTCCCAAGGGCGCTTCACCCAGCTCCAGCTTGGCTTCTCTCCATTTGCTGCATGACGCTGTTCCAGCAGCAGATGGCACTCGGGAACCGCTGGGGCCCGGCTGCCAGAGCCCCACTGTGGGACAGGAGGGTGAAGTCCCTGGTTTGGGAGGCACGCTCTCTGCCGTGTAGGGCTGCAGGTAAGGTTCAGAAGCACTCCTGAGCACTGCTGTAAATCGAGATGCTGCTGCCTGAGGCTCCAGAGCAGAGCCAGCAGCTCCTCTCCAGGCTGGGGGACAGAGGGATGGGAACATGCACTGGATCAAAGAATCCCCATCCTATCAACCACAGAGCAAAGTTGCCTGCAATGAGCAAACTCCTCTTTGCTCACCCCTGCTCCGGTCCTGTCCCCAGCTCCAAGGGTGAAAAAGCATTTGAGGCGTTTCCTGCAGGAGAGAGGTCAGCAGATTCCCCAGACTGGGAGGAGGGAGCAGCCACAAACCTGACCCAGGCTTTAGGTGGAGACTCAGAGGGATCAAAGAGCTATGAGACAGTCGGGTTTAAATGTATCAATGGACAATTAAAATGAAAACTACCAAAGCTTGTTAAAGGACGTAAGAACAGCTTGGTCCTGCTTAACATCAGGTGTTGGTACCTCCCATAATGATACCAGCCACAGCACCGGCACAGAAGCTTCTCGGGACATGCAAAGCAGCCCTGTTCCCATCAGAGGACAAGGCTGTTTCCTCTTTTCCCCCTTCCTGCACACCAGAGAACCACAGACAGGTTTGGGTTGGAAGGGACCTTAAAGATGATCCAGTTCCAACCCCTGCCACAGGCATCATCCTGCAGGTTCTTGCCTCAAGTCCTGTGGGTGAAATCTGTGCCTACCCCTGTTTACTGCCACCCTGAATAACTCATGACCTCGCCACCTCATGGCATCTTTTCCTCCAGAAAAACTTGTATCTCTGGTGTAAGGCCCCTGAAGTAGAGACTGAGTGAATGGGGAGAGGATCTGCCCCATCTCCAGACAGGCACAGCAGGGCCAAGTGCAGGTTTGCTGACCCCATTAGCCAGCCTTTGGATGTAGGACACACGAGCCAGCCTTGGGAAAGGAGCCAGGCAGTGGAAAGTGGCTGGGACAGCTGGTCAGGCAGGTTCCTTTCATCCTTTATGGAAACATATTCCTTGGGGAAAGCATGGAGAGCTGCAGCCAGCGACTGCTTCACCCTGGCTGAAAGCTGCCATCAGCAGTGACCAAGGGAGGCTCCCATCCCAGCCCATGGCTTCAGCCCACATCTAGGAGGACATGGGCAGCCCAGCAGCCTTAACTTACAGCTCAGAAGCTGTACATGAAGATGCCAAGAGCCAGCTGGCTCCTGACACACTCCTGTGCCCTTTTGGAGCTACAAAACCTCCAAATTATTCTACACATGGCTGCTTTGGGGCTACTCGAGTGGCAGCACATTCCACTCCCACCCTGGTGCAAGAAGGAAGCGTCAAATTCAGCCCCATGTGCACCTCCCATCCCAGCCAAGCTTCATCCAAACCTAACAAAGCCTTTCACTCCCCTTTGCCAGCAGAACTGGAAAGCAAGCTCCAGACACCAACCTTGGCTCCAGGGTCTAAGCTGCACTGAAGACTCATCATGGGCTCCCTGGGTGTCGCATCACACTGATGCTGCATGGGTTCAGGTTGGGCTCTGCTCACAGCTGGGCTCCTCCTGTGCAGAGCTTGAGGTGTAGAGCTGGTGTGGACCACAAGTGCAAGGGACAGCCTGCAAGAGGAACAGAGGCACCTGAGAAGGGAGGAGATGAAAAGGGGAATCATGCTAGCAATTAGGTTTAAAGGACCAGTCCAACACTAATGAATACTTGGGTGGAGAGAAAGGGTGGAGGTGGCTGAGGTGCCTGTGGACACTCACTGTGCTGGGCCTGGCTGGCTCAGTGCTCCACTCAGGACGCAGGAAACTCTTGGAATTGCAGATAACCCATGCTCCAGTGGGTGGAAATCATGATTTGAGAGCATGAGTTAAAACCCAGCTGGAGACACTGGTCCTGCTCCCAGCTATGGTGAGAATTTCATAGAATCATAGAACAGTCAGGGTTAGAAAGGACCTTAAGATCATCCAGTGCCAACCCCCCCTGCCATGGGCAGGGACACCTCACACTAAACCATGGCACCCAAGGCTCTGTCCAACCTGGCCTTGAACACTGCCAGGGATGGAGCATCATAGAAAGATAGAATGGGTTGGGTTGGAAGGGACCTCAAAGCTCCTCCAGCTCCAACCCCTGCCAGGGCAGGGACCCCTTCCACTGGAGCAGCTTGCTCCAAGCCCCTGTGTCCAACCTGGCCTTGAGCACTGCCAGGGATGGGGCAGCCACAGCTTCTCTGGGCACCCTGTGCCAGCGCCTCAGCACCCTCACAGGGAAGAGCTTCTGCCTTATCTCCAACCTGAACTGCCCCTGTTTCAGTCTGAACCCATCACCCCTTGTCCCATCACTACAGTCCCTAATGAAGAGTCCCTCCCCAGCATCCTTGTAGCCCCCTTCAGACACTGGAAGCTGCTCTGAGCTCTCCACAGCTTCTCTTCTCCAGGCTGAACAGCCCCAGCTTGGCCTTATTTCATCCCTCGCACAAGCTCCCAGAGACTCAGCCTGTGATAAAGTAAGATCCCATTTCCTGAGGCCCAAGAAGAGAGCACCCGGGAGGTTTCCTGCCTTGACACATCCCATCCACTCCCAAAAACCCCTGCAGAGCACTTGGAGCCATCACACACTTGTTCTCTTCTTACTTGTCTCTGGGCATCTGTGTGAGGCCCCGATGGAGCTCCTGGGTAAGGTGGCCCTGCCCTGGGAATGGGGACATGCTGCTGGGCTACCTGACTGCTCCCTGCGTGTTGCTCAGGGCTGGGGGCACTGTGCAGCACAAACACATGGGATGAGGCAGGCTAAAGGTTTACAACCGGCTCTGTAAAAAGGAAGAATTCCATTTCCTGTCCCCCTGGAATACTGGGTTTCCTTCAGTTCCTTCAGAAGGAATTGATTAAACAACACCCTGCCTTTGACCTGTTGTTATTTAAACCTTTTTTATTGAGAAACGCTTGGAACAAGCATCCAAAGCTGCCTTTTTCTGGCAGCATCAGCTGCAATATTCGGAGCATTTTGGAAGCTCAGCTTGTAACCAAACAGAGCAGAAACATCTCAACAATTTGGGAGATGGAACCTTCCCCCTCCTGGGCCAAACCAACTGCTTTTCATCACCCCCCCTAGCTCTGATCCTCCTGAAAGGGGCCGTTTCAGCCAATTTCCTCTCCAAGACATCAGCTGGGCCATCCCTGGGTGACACTGACTCGCTGGCACTGATGCCATTGGGAGAGAAGAGCTTGGGTCTTGTTGAATAGGGACAGGACAAGAGGAACCGGCCTCAAGCTGCACCAGGGCAGGGTTAGATGGAGCTGAGGAACAATTCCTGGCCCAGAGGGTGCTCAGGCATTGGAACAGGCTGCCCAGGGCAGGGCTGCAGGCACCGGCCCTGCAAGTGCTCACAAACCCTATAGCTGAGGCCTCAGTGCCACGGGTTAGGGGTGGCCTTGGCAGTGCTGGGGTAGGGGTTGGACTGGATGAGCTTGAAGCTCTTTTCCAACCAGGTTGATTCAATGGTTCTGCAAGTCCCATGGGATGAGGATGTGTCTGGACAGGCAGGATCAGCAGCTTATGGCCAGCTCTGCTCACTCCAGTTTTCCTCCCATTGCAGGGGACCATGCAGGAGCCAGACCAGATGTGGTCTGTTGGGGTCCAGCTGTAAACTGCTTATCTGTGGCATGAGTAGGGTGAGGGCTGTTGTTATGAAGCAAAAAGGGCAAATTCATAGCTGGGTACAGGCTGAGGGATTGCTTTGTGGTTCATTCTCTGGTTGTGATGGCCCTGGGCATGCATTGGGTCTGGCTGGCATCAGCCTGTGTTGTATCAGTGAAGGCTCAGAGGGATGAGGAAATGGCTTGTACCAACAGCACTAAGTAGCTTATGGGAGGCAAGTTGAGAGCAGCTCAGCTCTGATCAGCAATTAAAACAGGATCAGGGATGGGGCTGACAGCTCAGCCCCGAGGGTGGGATGTCTCCATCTTTGCTGGGATCTGCCAGCCCTGTGGGCAGGAGGAGTTTCTCCTGGCAGAGGGAAAGACCTCGTCAGTGCGACCTGCAACAGCCAGGGTTAGGGCTGTGCTTCAGTGTTCTTCTGTCCTTCCTCACACCCGGTCCTATTCCCAACTGTGGCTCTGATCATGACTTCACAACGGTCCAGAACCCACCAGAGCCACCAAGCTGCCTTAGGGAAACCACCCTTGCTAGCTCTAGCGTTTCCCAATGAGCTTTTATGGCTGCATTTTAAACTCATCCTTGGCAAGGCTGTAACATTCCTGTTCTGAAGGTGTTGAGGCAAAGCTCAGGTTCACCAGGATGAGGAATGACACATGAAGGTTGTCAATAAAAAGGTCGCCCCGTGTTAAAACCTCCCAGTTAACCCCAGTGGTCATTCACATGGCTTTGTTTTCCTCGGTGTGGACAGACTTCTGCAGGCTGGGACTTTCTCTTATCCTTAAACCTGTTAACAGCACCTTACTGCACCCAAATGAGGATGAGGAGAGCAGGAACCCCTTAAATAGAGAGGAGATTCAGAGCAGCCCAAGGGGAAGGACTTGGGGGTGCTGGTCCATGAGAAAATGAACATGAGCCGGCTTCAGTGTGCGCTTGAGCCCAGAAACCAACCGTATCCTGGGCTGCATCCAAAGGAGCGTGACCAGCAGGGCCAAGGAGCTGATCCTGCCCCTCTGCTCTGCTCTCATGAGACCTCCCCTGGAGCATTGTGTGCAGTTCTGGTGTCCTCAGCATAAAAAGGACATGGAACTGTTGGAACAAGTCCAGAGGAGGCCACGAGGATGCTCAGGGGCTGGAGCAGCTCCTGTATGGAGATAGGCTGAGAAAGTTGGGGCTGCTTAGCCTGGAGAAGAGAAGCTGCGTGGGGACCTCAGAGCAGCTTCCAGTGTCTGAAGGGGGCCTATAGGGATGCTGGGGAGGGACTCTTCATTAGGGACTGCAGTGACAGGACAAGGGGTAATGGGTTAAAACTGAAACAGGGGAAGTTTAGATTGGATCTAAGGAGGAAATTCTTTACTGTGAGGGTGGTGAGGCACTGGAATGGGTTGCCCAGGGAGGTTGTGAATGTTCCATCCCTGGCAGTGTTAAAGACGGTTGGGTTGGGTGTGTTTGTGTGGGTGTTGTGGGGGGTTGGTGGGGGGGGGGGGTTTTGGTTTGGTGGGTGGTGGGTGCTTAAGGGAAGGGCACGGTGCATCTGCAAGGGGGAGGATCGCCAGCTCCCACCTTTCCAAACAGCCCCCATGTGGGATTAAACTCATCCTGTCTGTTGAGGGTCCCAGGGCTGGGTGAAGAGTCACACAGTCCCAGCTTGGTTTGGGTTGGAAGGGACCTTAAAGCTCCTCCAGCTCGAACCCCCTGCCATGGGCAAGGACCCCTTCCACTGGAGCAGCTTGCTCCAAGCCCCTGTGTCCAACCTGGCCTTGAGCACTGCCAGGGATGGGGCAGCCACAGCTTCTCTGGGCACCCAGTGCCAGCGCCTCAGCACCCTCACAGGGAAGAGCTTCTGCCTAAGAGCTCAGCTCAGTCTCCCCTCGGGCAGGTTCAAGCCATTCCCCTTGGCCTGGCCCTACAGGCCCTTGTCCCAAGCCCCTCTCCAGCTTTCCTGCAGCCCCTTTAGGCACTGGAGCTGCTCTAAGGTCTCCCCTTCAGGAGCCTTCTCTTCTCCAGGCTGCCCCAGCCCAGCTCTCTCAGCCTGGCTCCAGAGCAGAGCTGCTCCAGCCCTCGCAGCAGCTCCATGGCCTCCTCTGGCCTCGCTCCAACAGCTCCAGGTCCCCCTTGTGCTGCTGCCCCAGAGCTGGATCAGGGCTGCGGGGGGGGTCTCCCCTTCCCATAGCAGAGGGGCAGGATCCCCTCCCGGAGCTGCTGCTCATGCTCTGGGGGTGCAGCCCAGCACACGGGGGGGTTCTGGGCTCAAGCTCACACTGAAGCTGGGTCATGGGGAGCTGCTCCTCACCCAGCACCCTCACGTCCTTCTCCTCAGGGCTGCTCCATCCAGTCTCCCCCAGCCTTGGGATTGCCCCTTCCCTGGTGCAGGACTTGCTCCAAACTCTGCTTGGTTCTTGCCCCTGCACTGCAGCAGTGGGGTTGCTGCCTATGCCCATCAGCACACACCATCGGCCAGAAGCTGATGCTGTCTCCCTGTTGTCATTTAGGGCATTACCACTCTGTGACCTCTCTGTGCTTGGCCGGTTTGGGACTGGTGGAGCAGATCCTGGTGCTATTCCAGGAGAGTCCTGTGCTGATGCCGAGCTTTCATCCCCTTACAGAAAAACCCCAAGGGTGAGCAGGAAGGATGAGCAAATGGGCTCCCAAGCTGCTTTGATGCTCACAAGGCAATTCTTTCAAGCTGAGACCTTCCTTCATCCAGAGGAAGGTTTTCTTCCACAGTGCCTGGCAAAGCAGGATGGTGAGTCAGCAGGCTGGAGGCAGTGCTCTGCATCAATCTCTGGGGATAGGGATGAATCCCTGCCTCCCTTCCTGCAGGCAATGGGTCTTGGGAAGGCCTCTCTCAAAGCTGGCTGCTCTTGCAGTGGCCACACCGTGCTGGTTTGGACAGGTTGAGTCACTCATGTCATGAGGTGTGGGGACTCAGAGTCCCCATGGCCAGGGCTGTGAGCCCAGA